GGGGAGGTTGGGGTTGGGTTGGGTTGGGGGGTGGTTTGCCAGGGTATTAATTAGTTGTGAATATCTGTTCTCTTAGCCAGAGACAGACAAGGCAAAAACAGGCTTCTTACTTACGCCCCCCCTGTGCCAGTGGTGATGTAGTAAGGTATGGATGTTTTGTGTAATATTCCTGTTACTCCGGGTTAGCTTCGTTGGTTGTGTAATTGTTGGTTGGACAGAGCTTTCTTCGCCACCCCTGAGCTGACGTTGGGGCCGCTAGCCGTGTTGGGCGCTGGGTTGGCAGTTGCGGGGAAATATTTTTCCGGATTGGTTGTTGTGAGAAAGGGATGGCTTGTACGCAGGGTGTGTACTGGCTGTACTGGGCTGGCGGCTACTATTTGGACGACGGCGTTGATAGATTTTTTTGTATCTACGTAGACTCCCTACGTAGATTGGCTATATATTAGGTAGAGCCGCCCCCAGATTTTCTTTCGTATCTTTATATGCGCATACCAATAGGTACTAAATTTAATGGGATTGAATAACGACCTGGCTGCCCGCAAAACTCTGGATTGCAATTGAGCACTAGCGACACAGAGTCAATTGTTTATGGTACTTTACGTACCGGGGGCTTGCAATTGAGTCAAAGCTTCTGCGAAGGTTTAATTGTTCCCGGAGCCCTTCAACTGAGCGTGGAACCTTGACCAGGCGCGATATTCCACATGGTCCTTGCAGTAGTAAAATATTTTTTACTAGGCAGTCTTTAAGATGCGCCATTGCGAAATCTGAACTTAAAGAGAGCGTCTGCTAAATACGATACAGTCCCGAGCAGCAACAGCCAACTAATACCAGCAGCACCACAGCAGTACTCCCTAAATTCGAGCCCCCGAGGCTCACTCGCAGCATACTTTATACTAACACAAAAACCCCCAAAACAAGTACGGGGGACACTCAAGAAACCACCATCACCACCACCACTGCCGCCACCTGTCCACCCCCGTTTCCCCTGAAATCCCGCAACCCCAGCACCGTTAGCATCGGTCGCATGGCCCAATGGCAAGGCGCTTGACTACGATCCCAATATCCGAAATCAAGAGATTCCAGGTTCGACCCCTGGTGCGATCATTACATACCTCTACACCTCCCTACAGCTGGTTCTCCACAGCGGGGTGTGAAATCCTTTTTTTCCCCGCGCTCTTGTAGTGGGGTTGTGGGATACTAGTGGTGGTGCTAACAGAGTTTTTTTTCTTAGTGCGAGCTAGGAGGAAGCAACCAAGAATTGTGGAGAACACCCTGCGGGAGGTAGTGGGGACGAGTGAGAGTGTGTGATTCAGTTCAATTCAAATGTGTTGTGGATATTGTCAATCGTCTACGCCTACTTTTACACAGAAAGCCTACGTTCTCGTTCGTTTGTTCGTTCCGTATATACCGTATCATAACCTCCCGCCTCGTCCCCGCAAATATAAAAAAAAGAAGCATCCAAAGCATCCAAAGCAGACAAGCAAGAAAATAAAACCCCCAGAATGCAAAGCAAGCAAGCCCAACAAACCAACATAACAAACCAAAACTACGAGAGAAAAAAAGAGAAAAGAGAAAAGAAAGAAGAAAAGAAGAGGTATCCATCTAGTAAAGTACCAACTAGGAGAGTAGAAAAATAAATGGTTTAAAACGGGGAATACTAATGACACAAAAAGGGAAAGAAAAACGGCAATGACAAAAGGGAAAAAAGACAAGGGAAAAACTCCAGAAGAGAAGGGTACAGTTTATTTCTAGGGCGTACAGAAGGAAAGTGAAGAAGGGAAGGAAAGAAACGGCAAGGAAAGAAAAGGGAAGTGAAGGGAAGGAAGGAAAAGCCGGGAAGGGCAATTTAAAGGAAGAGGACTGGAGCTGGAGCTCTAGTTGATCCCGAGGTATAGTTTGCAGCGCTCATAGACGTAGAACGACGTTCTATCACCGCCAGTCAGTAAACATCTCGCGAACGAAAATGGAGGGGATACTCACGCAGCCATCGGTATGACCTTCACATAGCCAATCCCCAACCCCACAAAAAAGCCCCGAAACCCACACACGCTCCAAATCCTTCTCGCCGTCTCCCCAATCCCCACGCCCACCCCCTCGCCCACCGCCCCACTAACCTGCATCCGCCTTCTTATAACCTCCAACGGATAACTCGCCGTCTGCGCCACCAGCCCCGCAACACCACCACTCACCAACTCCGCCCACGCCTTCAGCGTCGGCCGCCTGCCCCCATGTCTCCCATCCTCATCCGTCTCCGCCACCGTCGCCCACCGCGCCACGGGCCCCCGCCGAAGCCAGTCCCCCGCTACATCATGCGTCAGGAACGATATCCCCGCATACGGCAGCATGCCCAGCATTGTCGGCGAGAAGCCGCGGTAGAAGTTGGTCAGCCTCCCGCCGACGACCGCCGGCGCCCCCGTCGGCTCCCGGTACAGCCGGCGACAGATGCCCCATAGCCCGGTGCGCGCCGTGGTCCGCGTCTCGAAGGCGAGCCGCACGCGGATCACCTCGAGCGGGTAGGTGAAGAAGACGCTTGTGACGCCGGCGGCGCTGCCAGAGAGGAGGCGGCGGGGCGCGGTTTCTTGCTCCTTTGTGGGGATGAGGACGGAGCGGATCTGCTCGTAGGCAACAAACTTGATGGCGGCGTAGGGGAAGATGCGGAGGAGGGTGGCGGAGTGGCCGCGGAAGAGGCCGAGTGGGCCTTCGCGGTGGGTGATGTCTTGCATGGCGGAGATGGCGCCGAGCCAGGAGGTGCTGTATTTGGCGTAGGCGGGGGACGAGGCTTGGAAGAGGATTTTGACGCGGTCGAGGGGTGCAATTAGTGTTTTGGCCTAGGGGGGTGGGGAGTTAGTTGGTGGGGTGCGGAGGTGGGGAGTGGGGGGGGGGGGGACTGACTGCACAGCCGGCGATGCCCCCGGCGACGCCGGACCGCAGGATGTAGTCGAGACTGCGCTTGTCATGTGTGGGAGGGAGGAGCGTCGGTGTGGGCTTTGGTATGGGGGTTATGGGATCGTGGTGGACTGCTGCTGTGGCCTCGCCATGGCTGTTGCGGAAGGAGACGGCCTCGGGCATGAGCTAACTGGTGTATGTATCTAGGTGCGAGTGTATGTGTCCCGAGTAATATTCTGTATCCTTGGGGGGGGGGGGGGGGGTATATCTCTTTTCCCAGAGCTGAATTAGATAGAAAGATAGGTAAGATAGAGTCTGTAGAGTCTAGGTTAGCGAGGTGAAGGTAAAAGAGAGTATGTAGAGGAGAGAGAAGAACAGTAAGACCGATCCTGTCGGGAGTGCCGGGGGTGCCACCGTCAGTGCGGCGTCATTCCTTCCGCTTAGACCTCGGCTCTTGCCGGGGGGCCCTTTCAGCCACGGGAGACAGCCACAGCTGCTGGGTATTTGTTCATCCGTCGCTCTCTCACTCGCACTGGTGGCCCATTCTTCTGTGCTCTGTCTCTCTTCTCTCTTTGAATCGCATCGATATCGCGTCGCGGGATAGCTCATGGCAATCAATCCATTGACCTGACAACTGAAAATCTCTGTTGACATGTCTCTGTTTCCTTCCTGACTGATTGACAAGCTTTGAGATTCACTCGATGTCTCACCCGCCCACATGACCCTGCAGACGGTGCGGCTATAAACGGCTATGATACGGTCCTACGGAGGCAGGGATCAGATCCTGTTTTCCGCCTGGGGAGGGTTTTCATTGGCGGCGGCTACAGACACACAGCAGAAACGCTGGAAGTGCTGTAACGGTAGGAAGTACTTACTCGTTGAGCTCCGGTACTAATGTGTAGCTATCACTTCTGTTAACGGTTAGAGCTGGATGTCGAAGCAGGCGGGAGGTAAATGATTAATATCGATATCACCTCTTTCATAGGTGGACTGGCCAGCTGGATTGTTATTTAAGAGGGCACGACAAATCTATTCTACCAGCAGCACAATTCCTATTGCCCGACGTGGTATCATTTGCTGTTCCCGATCCGATATCCGAATAACCTTCTTAAATGATTACACTTTCTTCCCGGAATGAGGGCTCGGCGCAATTGGCGTTGGTCAGTTTTGGCACTAAAGACAAAGAACTTCATTGATACATGCGGGAACCGGCATGAAAGCGAATGCGAGCTCATGACGGCAACATACCGCTCCCGCACAAGACACCAACACAGAGGGATAGCTACGTCCACGCCCTCCGAGCGAGTAATGGAACTACGGCGACCATTCCCGGGGTCTCATATACGCTTCATAGGCTTCAGAGGAGGATTAATCAACATCTACATATCTACACACAGCTCACAAGCCAGCGAGCCCAGCCCAACACAGTATTGGAGTAGACAAGAACCCTACTTTCAACATCGGCTGTGGACCAATTTTGAAAAATCGAAGTATCACGCCTACAATGTACCTACGTCGTACTATGGGCACAAACCCTGTTTCCCCGCATAAGGCACGGAATAGAGTTTTGTCATGGCGTGACATGGCTCCGCTATGTAGCAAAGCATAAAATCCCGGAATCATCCTAGGTGGATAGACAGGATGCTCCGAAATCTACCTACAGACACCACTCTTCTCTTCTGGCCTACAGCGCAAGTAATATCATAGCTAGTTGAGATATCCTGCCTCTCTATACCCTGGTTTCGGGCTTTGTATCAGAAGGAGCAATCCACACGGGCCTGGATCAGGGCCGGAATATAATCCAAGGCCGGCGTATGTTGGCACTTGACAGCATTCCTCCCATCCTCGCAAATAATAGAGGAAGGTTTTCAGTACGGCCTTCTCCCATGTCGTATCTAGATGATATCTTATCAGGCTTGAGTGTGCTCTCCGAACTCACAACTAAATATACCTATGTATTCGGACTGGGATATAATGCGGCCTTGATATGAATAATTGATCGGAACTGCAGTTAAGCAGCCTCACTGTTTTCATTATACACGGCCAGGGACCGGTCCTCAGCGGCGAACTTAGTAGATACATGTACCTTAATTCTCCCGCTCCAACGACCACATATGTCCCAGTACCTATATGTACTCTACATCCTCTGGGCCCTGCGCCATACCTTCGGTATTCAACTTATACTCCCACTAGAGAACCAGAAGCCGAAGCATACAACACAGCCTGAACAATGTGAAGGGGGTAAGAACAGTCTCTCTTCGCCGCAGGCCGCGATTTGTGGAGTTTATAGCCCTTTTTTGCTCCTCTGGTCGTTCAAACACTCGTATACATGGCTGGTGTTTGGCTTTGGGCTGTGTGATGTTTGCTGCTACGTACTCGAGGGCGAGCTACTATGTTAGTGTTCAAGAGGACAGTGCTAGAGACATTGCTTATTCAATGTTAAAGAGACATAGGTTTATTTGGCAGTACGTATACTAGGAGGTGGAGTATCAGTGGGAAGCCAACCAACTCCCGGATGACAAGCTTGCGTAAAGTATCCAAGAGGTATGAGATAAGCGCCTGAAGAAGAAGGAGTTTGGGACTAGCATTTGCGCTATAACATCAATTGGATAGGTGAGGTGAAGAAGCGTGCTGTACCGGGAGAGCTATGCGGAAGGTGAAGCATGGTGGGCCGACGTCTGCTGGTAGGTGCCTTTAATTTCGGGACTGGAGTAGGGAAGAATGCTAGTCCCGGATCTAGGCAGACTTTATCAGATACATAGTTGTGAAGGTTTGTACCACTACAGTTAGCTAGGTAAGCCGATCATTCTGGTGTGCCATGGGAAACGCTATATGGACATTAGATACGGGGATGTTTGGTTCTTTCTGGTGAGTCCGTCGAGCATAATGAGTTGCTTTTCTATGACAAATGCCCAGAGTCGATGGCTCGTGAGTTTGGTTTGGAAAGCCCGTGGGTAGGTGTAGCTGATACGACCTCAACTATATACTGCTCACGCCTAAGAAGTACTAGTTGTAGAGTGGCTGTATGGAGCTGTCGATACCTTAAAGCTCAAACATCGGGCTATCAAGCATCTCCCGGTGAAACTAGTTACTTTTACCTAAAGCCTGAAAGAAGACCGTTAACGTTCAGCTAATAGCAACTCGGGCTCATACTCAGGGGGGAAGACGCAGAGATTAAGATAAGGGGACTAGAGAAGAAAGGCTATATCATGATCAGCTACAGGACTAGTGTTCCCTCCCTGTCAATATTATAGTCCACGAGACAGCATGATTGGGGAGAAGGAAATACTTCGAGGTGCCTCTGCCTCTTGAGGTGTATTTCTTGTTCTGCTCGAGCGAGCAGACTCGAGACTTCCACCTTCAGGTATTTAAATTCAAGCATTTTTATAGAACAGTCTGGTCTGGAATGATAGGATATAAACCCTCTCGGTGCCCTAAAACTTACCTGTCGTACATCTTTGAGTGCGCATCAATTGATATAATATGTGTCACAGGATAAGACATTGAGTTTAGAATTTTGGTATATAACAGTTCTGGGTCGTCGTGGTCTTGACTCTTGAATCTGAAGGATACATGTAGTATCATAGGTTTTATATTTACATGATTACCTACACCCTGATGTAGTCAATTGAGAACAGGAATACTTTCCTCGAGATGCTAGCCACGTGGACCACACTGCCCAAGTCATAGTTAGAGTATGTGCCTGAACTTGAAATAGATGGAGTTATCGGTAGTACTAGTACTGTATTATGAATGGCCGTGATAAAATATCACACACGCAAATAACTAAGATCGAATTATATATGTCTGTAGAGGAGCAGAAACTCGGCCTCAAAGTCGTTTGGGTCAAGCTTTTTTTTTTTTTTTTTTGTTTAATTCATTAATATTTGAGTCAAGCTCGCCGGGCTGGCCATTCCGCATGTATGTGAAAATCGCCCCAAAATCATGTCATAAGCTTTGCATCATGCTCAGATAACATCAGGAGACGAGTTCTTCCCAGAACTCAGGTGCACATTCGTAATTAACTTCATAGCTCGCTCCAGATGTGGTTTAAGAAGTTGAGTTCGTGCCAGGAGAAGGGCACGTAGTTGGAAGCCACTTGAGCAGTCGTATATCTGCACCTACGCTACAATATTGAAAGAGCAGCACTTTCGCCGTATAGAGTAATCTCTCCGAACAGAAAGATAAATATCCAATTTTGAGAGGGTTTACTAACTCACTACATATAGATGCCCTGAGGGAAAGGCCTTAGCCCGGATATGTTGAATTTTTCTACTGCAACTCACACCACGGACCACACTACAAACGAAGCCAAAATCTATGAGGATAAAGCTCGAACCTATGAATTTGGAAGTTTTCAATCTCGTAATACCTCAACTATATACCTAGCACTGCGAATGATGATTGATAACAATACGACACAACACACCCTATGACCAGAAACCCCCCATAACGAATCCTCCACTAGGAAACCCAACCTGGGAATCGTCTAAAATCTTCGCGCTCAACTAAATATACACGCGGCTTAAAGAGACCCCGGTTTATACAGCCTCTCACGATAATATGTATTCGGGCTCGTAGGAGCCACGGGCTTAAGTGCCTTCCCCTCCCGCTCTGTGTAGCTTTGTACAGCTTCCCGGCAGTCGACCATCATTTTCTGTATAGATAGAGAGGCATAAGCAATGGAAGGTAACGGCGGTGGGGTGATGGGGGCTTACCTTGAACAGCCATAGGGACTCTAGGAGCTCAAAGGCTTGGGGGATGGTTTTGATGCTAGTAGGAACTTTCCTCAGGTCGCCCTCCTGCTTGATGAACACGCGGCCCACGCAGGTGAGGCGGATAGTCATTGTTTCCAGACCTGCAGAATAGGGGAGATAGGTAAGCTATCCATCGCACTCACTTGAAAACAGAGGGGAGGGTGAAGGGTATGTCTCACCAGCCTGTATCAATCCTGGGAACTGCAACTTTTTCAGCGTCTCCTCGTCATAGTCAACATACTCCCCAACATAACGCATCAACGCACAGAGCCCTCTCAGCATCTTCAGATTGTCCTTCTTCCACTTCGGAGAGTCTGGGCCATCGTTCTTACGCGCCACCTCAATGAGGCCCCACTCATCTGGGGCTCGGAACTGGGAAGAGTTGGTGGTGCGGGAGCGCACCTGGTTACAGATGACGGCGTCGAAATGCGGGTCAGTGCCTTGGAGTATGTCGGGGCGGGATTTGAACGCCATTAACGACGAATCTCGGCTGCGGGGAGTGGTCAGCACGGAAACGATAACCCACGCAGAGAAAAAACGACATACCGTCGGGCTACGAGAACGTCCGCGAGGAGGAGATCAACAAGGTTAGCCCAGAGTGTACACTCCAGAGATCCTTCAAGTAGCTCATCGGACAAGAGCAAGTCGTTGGTGTCACAAACTAAGGAGATCCTGCAAGGAGTTCTGTGAATAATATGATAAAATAGATGTGGTTTTGTGGAAAACGTACAGGTGACGCATAGCATTATGGGCCCAGGCCGCATCAAAGCGTTTCTTCTCCTTATCATAACACTTCATATATCCCGTATACGTATACTCACGATACTCCTCGGCCGTAGAAAACTAGTGACAGTCAGGGCCTATATCAAGCAGTGGGCAGCATATATATGTGGCCAGAAAACTCACACCACTAAATCCAGAGATTGCATAGATCACGGACGGATGAACCGCCGGCATTGGCATTATCTCATCTTTAATCCACCCCAATAGCTCGGGAAACCAGTCCACTACAATTGGATCGTCGGGATTAATCACCCACAAGAACAGCTGGTTCATTTCCTTGAAGCCGCCGGCGACTTTCTCAATAACGGTGTTGTAGACCTCCGTCTCGAGGTACTTCCCCGGACTAATGAGGGTTTTGGTCCCCATCTTCTCATAGGTGCTCTTGAAGCTGTTCAGGAGATAATGGAAGTCAATATTGTCCTTGGGGACTGCTATGGCCGCACCGATTTCTTCTTCGCCCGCCGCTGGGGCCACAGTTTGCAGCCCTTCGGGTACATCGCCGCTACTCACAGTAGCAGCGGCAGAAGCAGAAGAAGAAGCTCCTTCACCATTATTATAGACCTATCGGAAGCGCAGAAAAGACACGACTCCGTCAGAAAAAGAACAAGGCACAACTACTAATAAAATTTATGGGAGACAATTAAATTAATATTTACACTATTGACAGGGCCAGCAAACAGCGTCCCCACGGAGCCGATATGGAAAGAATTGGTACTCTTTGCCTTCTTCTTCTTGGCTTCTTGTTCTTCTAGCCACTGGGAGAGATACTTTCGGTCCTAATGATTTACCAGGCATCACACAAACTACAGGTCAGCAGCGACTTCACGGTTTTTGTTCCCTAATCCCACAGGCTACAGCAGACGAGCAAACTGATCATCCGTGAGCCTGTAGGACCAAGCAGACGAGCGAACTGGTCGTTCTGCAAGACAAAGCAACAGACAAGCGAACTGGTCATCTGTTGCGCCACGCAGACAAGCGAACTGGTCATCTGCGGGCTCTAGGGATCGTCGCAAGCAAAGCGAAACAGACAAGCGAACCGGTCATCTGTATTCACCCCACTTGCGATGATGTGTGACGAAGGCATGAGGGGGGGTTCATTCTTGATGTGGTGATGGTGGTTGTGGTGATGGAAGGAAGGAGGCTGGGATGAGGTGAGGTTGAAAGGGATGTCTTGGCGCGATGCCTAGCGCAACATCTCAGGGTTAGGGTTTAGCTTACCGCTGTTTTCTTATTCTTCCACCGCCCATGATGAACGTTAGCTTGATCGATCTCGTCTTGAGTACAACAGTCGTCCTTGCAGTCGGCTATAACTCTAAGCGACCTATGCCACCCGTCGGAGATCTGTCGGGGTGTCCTCTCTGAACGCTCGACTTGGAACTTCACGTAGTCCTTGACGCTCCAGTCGCCGGGGATCGTTTCCTTGAAGTATAAGGGGTTTCCTGGGTGAGGCATGAGGCGAGGTTATTGAGGAACGAGTGTGGTGTGTGTGCGATGTGCGGTAAAGAAGAGAATGTGGTGATGGTACAGTAGGACGCGTTGAGTACAGGGAGCGACGCGCGACGTTCTTGGCTTGGCGTAATGGATCTGATAAGATCTTGTGGGATCGTGACGGAATGTGCCGGTGTGTATATGTGGTCATGACAACTCGACAATGAATTTCTAGTAATTTCTTTCCTGCTCGACTCGATCAATTGAACGCGAGACGACTGGATGTTAAACTAGTCATGATAATGAGTGAGGAAAAAAACCTTACAGTAAAAATTCAGGAATCAATCAGGTCAAGTACATATATATACATACATGTACTTGCCGAAACCCGTCATGGAAACACTGCAATCCTGATACTTATAACCGCTTACGCATCCAACCAAAAATGAGCATGGTCCCATTTCTATTGCGCAGGTAAGCTATATCCTAACAAGTGCTTATGTTTCTCAACCTTCATAAGCTAAAGCCGAAAGCTTACCTGAAGACTTGCACACCATGCTCTGGAGATGCAATTGACCCTTGCTGGGCTTTGTAAGCCCGGCGCCAGGACCGTAAATTCGTGATCCCATAACTATAGGTGGCATATTATACGGAGAAAAACTGAGCCAATGACTCCGCAGCGCAATTTGTATGCTGTCCTGTCCTGCAGATGGTGCTATAATCTGAAAGTTCTCCAGATCAGTTTACTCTTATTGAAGAAACCAGGAGATTTTTTAGAAAGGAAAAGAATAGATCAAAGAGAATGCCATCGCAAGGATATGGTAGGATAGTAGATAGTGGCAAGGATCTAACGAACCAAAGAATGCCCCACACCCGCTCATCAGTCCACATTGTCAACCTCGATGACCCATCCTCCAATCCAGATTTTTCGCTCCATATAGAAACCCGGATACAAAAGAAAGCAAGATTAAAAGCAAAGACTCCATCCAACACCACATACCTGCTATTTCTCCAAGCCTAAAATTACATATATTGAAGATCACCTACTGTCCTTTTCCTTTACCTTCGCCCTCAGCAAGCTCCCTGATGAAGATCTTTACGCTCTCGGGTGGGCATTCTCCACCGTCGTTTCCGTCCTCGAAGCCACTCGAGCTGCCAATGGCAAGATACTTTCCGTTTGGACTGAATGACAACCCGGCGATGGATGCCGGGTATTTTTGGTATTGCCTCAACCGGCGCTTCGCCATTCCGTCCCACAGGGACACGATACCGTCTCCGCCACCAGAAGCAAATGTACCATAGCTATTTCAAAGTCAGTAATCGGGCACGTAGTACTAAATAAGGGAGAAGGCACAAACTTCGGGTGAAATGCCAACGCGTTGACTGGATATACGACGTCGACACCGCCTTCCACAGCACGGTGACATTTGAACGCGTATTTCCTCTTCTGACTCTCCTCGCTGGCATCGAAGAATTCGACGGCTACACGGCCCTCGATACTGCTGCTTGCATATCCTTGCCCGTTGGGCATGCATCTGACGGTACGGGTTTGGAACTTGAGGGAAGACTCGCGGCGCTGCCAGGGTTCTGCCATGTTACGGACATCGTAAAGGTAGACGCTGCGGGAGGCCATGGCCACGACAAGGGTATGGTTGATGGTAGATGTGCTGAAGATCTTATGGGGTTGGTGATGTTTTGAGGTTTCCGTGGAAGCACGAGGGTCGAATAACCGGATTGTATGGTCCCAAGAACCGGATATGAGGGATTCTAAAGCCTGTTAGCGAGGTCGGATATATGAGAGATAAAGGTAGGCTGACTGATTTCTTTATTGTAGCAGACAGACTTTACACCGCCTTCGTGCGACCCAAGGGTTGTTTCTGCGCCGGTCTCGGGATCCCATCTGTGTGTAGAGGTTAGAGCCTATTACCTCTCTAAAATTTTAATATTGATGTTGAGGACGTACTGTTTAACAAGCCAATCTAAACCCCCGCTAAAGAGAACCCTGTCGTTCTCGCCGAAACAGCAGTCCAGCACGGGCGCTGCGTGGAACAATGCAGTCAGTTTGGAGCCATTCAGGCCAGCATTTGTGTCGTAAAGATGGACATACTTGTCCCAAGAGGAGACGAGGAGACGCGTAGGACTTGTGGGCGAAAAGGTGAGGGCCGAGATTGCGTCCTCTGGAGGGCTGGAGAGCTCGAATTGGGATGCTGCTTATGAGTAAGAAGACTGTTAGCATTTGAAGTTTGAGAGTAGAGGGTCTCAGAGCTGTGGCGATATTGAATAAAACACATAAAGTAATTACCTTGTGTCATTGTGAATTGAAAATGGTGCTATGTCGTGTTCTATATCTGGCGCGAACCCTGCGAGGCTTTGAAGACGTTCAAAAGCTTGACGTTCTTTATTGACATCAGATAACAGAGCTTGGCGTCGCTTAATTTGGACAGCAGTTAGTGTTGATTAGTTACCCTACCTGGAGGTGTGACGGGACCGATCTCCACTGGGCATGGCTGCAGCTGCAACGTCGCTGAAGCGAGGAAAAGGGGACAGAAAGGGAAACAGAGTGGGAGGGGAAAGAATTGGTACTCTACTGTAGGTACCAGTACATACTGAACTGCATTCCCGCACTTTGATCGTAGAGATATACTACATGTTCCTTGCCTGTACTCTACTGAGACCTTTTTCTTCGTCTACTCTCCGACGCTCATCATCGTCCTCCCTCTTTGCCCATTCTATGTACATGTATCTTTGCCCATTATCGTCAATTTTATCATAATTTAGAAGCAAATATACAATATCGTACAAATTTCCTCCTACAAAAGCTTATCGCTTTGCAGGCATAGAAATCTAGAAAATCACTTGCCCCACCCTTGCTAGTTTGGCCAACCAATCACTCTATCAAGGTCCAAGTGGGCGTTGTTGTTGGCACGCATCCAGAGAGCACAGACTACTACTGCTACACCGAGACAGACAGACGGTCCTGGGAGACACCCACGCAAAAAGGAAAGAAACATCAAGCTCCCACTTATTTTTTCACAACCTCATCCGCAATCCAACAAACACCCTTCTTCCCCTCCTAGCCCAGCCACAGCTCTTTCACTCGCTCGTTCACTCTCATCTTTCAAACACCCCACCTCCGTCCATAACCCCTCCATCTACATCAATCCCTTGATTACAACCAAGTAATCCTTTAGGATTTCCATTCTATCAATCTTCAGCCCTAGCCAATCACCTATTCGCTAGACTACACCAATCCATACACCCACCCACCCTCACTTCATTCACACGAGGAAGCACCCCTTCCAAAGGTCTCTCTTCCCCGATTGTAACGCTACTCTCCCATGCTCTCCGCTGCCCGGAGAAGGCCGTCATGAGTACTATCTTAGCTCCCCGCCAAAAGGACGAACTGTGCGTTGTTCTCTCTCGTCCCCCGCTACTCTCCCGACCTATGGCATATTCTTCTCCCTCCTCTTTGTTGATTCCCGTTCGTTGGCTCTGACCTCACCCCCGGCGTAGACATAAATCCCTCCTTGCATACCTTTCATCGTCTGGTCTACCTCAATCATGTGCGGCACTACGAGACGAGCTCGGTGTGGGGGATGAGTTCCTAGATATTGACAAAATGAAGAAATACGAGGGTCTGTTGGAAAAGAAATGGACCAGTGTGGTCAGGTTACAAAAGAAGGTTTGTCACGTTTCCAACCCGCACACTCAATGCCGGCCATAGTTTTGTTGGCGGGATCGATCCCCTGACCTTGTTTGTAGATTATGGATCTTGAATCCCGCCTAGCCTCTCTCCAATCGGAGCTAGATTCTGCGACCCCCACGTCACTTACCCGTCGCAACGTCGATCCCGCAAGCTGGCTCCCACGGGCTCCGGCGCGCCATGTACTCACCGGCCACCGAAACCCAGTGACATCCGTCGCTTTCCACCCCGTCTTTTCAGTCCTCGCTTCATCCTCCGAAGATTCGACCATTAAGATTTGGGACTGGGAGCTTGGAGAGCTAGAGCGCACAATCAAAGGACACACGAAGGCTGTACTGGATGTAGATTTCGGAGGGCCGAAAGCGGGAGTACTATTGGCGAGCTGCTCCAGTGATCTTACGATAAAATTATGGGATCCGAATAACGAGTATAAGAATATACGCACTCTTACCGGCCACGACCACAGCGTGAGCGCCGTGAGATTTATTCCTAGCGCAGCAGGAGAATACCTAGTCAGCGCTAGTAGGGACAAAACGTTAAGAATTTGGGAGGTTGCGACCGGGTATTGTATCAAGACGATATATGGACATGCCGACTGGATTAGAGACGTGGCACCTTCATTCGATGGCCGATGGCTTTTGTCTGCCGGAAATGATCAGGTTTGTTAATTCGGGAACCCAGAGTATATCGTCAAATTCACTAACACTACTAAAAGACAACTCGAGTATGGGATGCTACAACAGCAGAACACAAGGCCACACTACTTGGCCATGAACATGTAATTGAGTGCTGTGTTTTCGCACCGCCGACTTCGTATCCTTACCTTGCTACAATGGCTGGTCTCAAAAAACCACCCCCCTCTACCTCCTCTTCTGAATTCATCGCGACTGGCTCCCGTGATAAGTCAGTTCGTCTATGGGATAGCCGAGGCACACTCCTAAAAACTCTCATCGGCCACGATAACTGGGTGAGAGCATTAGCGTTTCATCCTGCGGGAAAGTACCTATTATCTGTCAGTGATGACAAGACTATCAGATGCTGGGATTTGACGCAGGATGGGAGATGTGTTAAGACGGTGGATGATGCACATGCGCATTTCGTGAGTTGTCTGAGGTGGGCGCCTCCGGCAAAGGAAGCCGCCAACGGGGATGGAAAGACAAATGGGGCGGCAGGTAAACGGGCAACTGAAGATAAAGCGATAGGAATGAGGTGTGTCATTGCGACGGGAAGCGTGGATATGAGTGTTAGGGTGTTTGCGTCATAAAATAGGTTTTCTTTTCCTCTTTAGCGGCCGTAGAGGTAGAAGATCGGGTTGGTTACCAAGGGGTTTTAGCTTGAGGATTCTTGTTCTCTTAATCGAGGCTTCATTGATATCCCGGCGGCTTGGGTTTTGAGTACTGGCTGGCGGTACGGGGGTTGAGTAGTATTATCAGCTTTTATGTTTCTTTTCTTTTCTTTTTAGCTTCACAGGCTTTATACTCACTTTCTGTGTAACTTTTTCCCCCTTTTCCTGTTTTTTTGTTCCTTTCCTAGTTCCTTTTTTTTTTTTTTTTTTTTTTTTTACGGAGTTGAGTTTGAATTGTTAAATTAGTCCCTATTCCGTTCTCCGTTCCATCATTCCTCCCATACCATATCATATTACACCATTTTATACGAGGCGAGAACTTCTTGGTTGCTCGTGTTTAACGCCCTTTTTCTTTTTCTTCAGCATTTGGTTGGATATAGGGATGGGACATGGAAACGAGGAAATGGATAATGGAATCGGTATATGAGCGACACTTACAGGCGCGCGGTATGTATTTAGAATTTAAATATTATACTTATTATACGATGCTTTGTGGGGTTGACTCATGAGGGATCACTCGTCGCGTATCCTAGAAATGGATTGGTGTATAATCTCTTATCTTATTGGTTGTTCATACTTGAATACGGCTAGGCCCCTTGTGATATGACTCATAAGCCTAGTTATTTGAGGGAAATACAGGAACTACTCGAAGTAAAAGCCAACGTCGGGTGCCCCGAGTGATTGGTGCATCCAAGGTAGATGTCGATAGATTCCATTTACTCTATGTCAATCAATGAGCTATTTCTCCTAAAATAAAATGGTGTCATGGCTAGCTACTTGTAACTGATCTGGCCACGAAATGCTGAGTTTATCGCGAGCGCTACGGCCTTGAAAGCTAGTGACTGGATGGTTTGAGAGCTAGTGCTTGTACACCCATTATAATAATTTTAAAGGGGGATACAGAGGATACACGAATCTCGAGTTAGACTCAGGCTAACCATAACAGAGTGTTGTACCAATACCCCACATTACCTATGTTGGCCAATTGCCAGAAATAGGGTTATAGCACTAGCTTTAAGGGATCTCAGTGTATGTGGCAAGTTCATAAGCTATCACTCGTTACTTAGCCTTATTTGTTGCCTGACCCAGGCGAGACGGTAGCATATATACGTTCTGTAGGGCTGCTGTAGAAACATGCTTGTTATACCTTGAGCTGACACAGAATATTAGCCCTCCATGGGGCCGAGAAGGCGGCTACTGTCATAAAAAAGGCCGGCACCCCAGTTTAAGAGGTAGATCTCCACCTAAAAACACACCAGCCAAGCTCTTACTCTCATTGTACTAACCCTTGAACCATTCTTGCACAGACCGTCATAACAAAGACGTACCCAAGGAAGAACGAAGCGAGAAACAACGAGCCCGGTTCGAACCGCCACCAACTCTAAAGAGCAGCTGTATCCCTACGGCCGTCGAGCCAAATAAATCCCAACTGTATAAACCTAAGCATATAACTGAAATTGGTGGAAACTGAGAAACGCCGAGAATGGGATAATCCATCATGGGCGGATCTTTAAATAGTATAAAACGTGAAGAACCATTCACTCATTAAGTCCTTGAGATCATAACTCCTATTTCCGGTTAGTTTATACCATTATGTCCGGCCGATGAGATAATGCCCCTCCTCCTTCTCTACAGTCGATTCTGTGGCTTTCTATGCAAGGCCCGCAGTTATAGAGGGTTGAGGGAAAGGGGGAGGGAGGAGGGTGCAACTCAGGCTAGTGCACATAGGCGACAACTCTATCCCATGTAGGTCTTGCCGCCTTTCCGTACCCCTACACAAGATATGTCAGCGGCAGCGTGGGCGAACCTGCAGCCGTTGAGTCACCCAACTCATACCTACCACGTTCCCCTAGCAGCCCCCAACCATACCTGGCAATCATCTCGGGTCTCTGGAGACCAATTCTTCGCGCTGGCCGTCTGGTTTCGACCCCCTTCTATCACTTACAAGGCCTCGATAGAGCGAGTGATATTCCATGATGCACTGTTTGGGGGGAAACTGGTTTTCTTTGTATGCAGGTGCCCGGGATGGGCGGGGCTCACGGGAATACTCTTTGTTTGACGGATGCTGGGAATTGTCTGTACTTTTTATGGTAGGCGCAGTGGCCTTACAGTTCATCTTTACCTCGAGCTTGAGGGTGCGCTGCTGGCATGTAGGGTTATAGATGAGGAGAAATACTGAGTGCTTAGTATAAAGTCTTATTGCTTAGATACAGTACTCTAGGGCCACCTCACAAAAGAATAGTTGTCAATACCTGCGACCGGCGAATTACACGTGGCTTAAAAGACTGACAGGTTCGAAGCAAAATTACAGTTCATCGTCGACACTCATCACTCACTCAAGATGGACCAAAAAAGCTTCCCGGTTGAAAGGGTTTCCATTTTATCCCTATGACAGCATCCCCAAGACCTCGCAGAGCTGGTTGAATAAACCCCGACTAAAGCAATCAGGTATCCATACTCAAATCCTCTTCTTTAAAAAAAGCTAATCACCGGTTGAACGATCAATTGACACCTGCACCCCGCCCATACCCGTACCCGTTATCCCAGAATGTTACAAAAATAAAAGAAACAAAAAAGAGAAAAGAACAAAAGATATGCCCCATATGACTTTTCAATAAAACGCCGATGTTGAATCTCCACTACCCCAATTGAACTTTTTGTTTTACTACAATAAGAATTATATGGCTTTATGTTAAATTAAGCCTTGGAGTACTTGGCACGGAACTGCTTGGTGGCCTTGATCATGTTGTCAAGGGCAGCGCGGGTCTCGGGCCATTGACGGGTCTTGAGACCACAGTCAGGGTTGATCCAGAGCTGCTCAGGCTTGAGCCACCTAGTGAAGAGAACAGTGGTTAGTAAATTACTAATCATCGATAGGAATAAGGAACATACTTGAGCATCTCCTCGACGCGCTCAACAATCTCCTGCTCTGATGGAACACGGGGAGAGTGGATGTCGTAGACACCAGGTCCGATATGACGGGGGTAGGCCTCGTCCTCGAAGACCCTCAAGAGCTTAGCATCAGACTTGGAGTTCTCAATGGAGAGAACATCGGCGTCAAGGGCAGCAATGGCATGGAAGAAGTCCTGGAACTCAGAGTAACAGAAGTGAGAGTGGATCTGGGTGTTGTTCTGGACACCAGTGGTAGCAAGACGGAAAGCCTTGACGGCCCAGTCAAGGTAGGCCTCACGCTCCTTTCCGGAACGGAGAGGGAGACCCTCACGGAGTGCGGGCTCATCGACCTGGATGACGTGGATACCGGCAGCCTCGAGGTCAATGACCTCATCACGGAGGGCAAGAGCGAGCTGCTCAGCCTGGACGGACTGGTGAACGTCGTCACGGGGGAACGACCACCTCAAGCAGGTGATCGGACCAGTGAGCATACCCTTCATGGCCTTCTTGGTGATGGAAGCGGCGTACTTGGACTCCTTGACGGTCATGGGAAGAGGCCTGGAGATGTCACCGACAACGATTGGGGGACGGACACAGCGAGATCCATAAGACTGGACCCAACCGAAGGTAGTGAAGACGTAACCGGTCAAACGCTCACCGAAGTACTGGACCATGTCGTTACGCTCAGGCTCTCCGTGGACAAGGACGTCGAGGTCAAGGGCCTCCTGCTCCTTGACAACGAGCTCGATCTCCTTCTCAATGAAGCGCTCGTACTCCTCAGTGGTGATATCACCCTTGGTGAACTTCTGACGGGCGATACGGATCTCCTTGGTCTGGGGGAAAGATCCAATGGTGGTGGTGGGGAAGAGAGGAAGTTTGAGGTGAGCCTGCTGACCAGAAATACGGGTCTCGAAAGTAGCGAGACGATTGTACATCTCAGGGGTGACCTTGGCCTGGCGCTCCTTGACAGCGGGGTCGTTGGTGCGGGCAGAGGTAGCACGGGCGTTCATGGAGGCAGCGTTGGCATCAAGCTCAGCGCGGACGGACTCAGCACCCTCAGTGACGGCCTTGGCAATGACGGTAACCTCAACAGCCTTCTCGGAGGCGAATGAGAACCAGTCAGCAACCTCAGCGGGGAGCTTCTTCTCGGAAGCAAGAGTGTGAGGAGTGTGGAGAAGAGAAGAAGAAGTGGCAACAACAACACGGTCAGCACCGAGGAGCTGGACAGCCTTCTCAACGGTGGCAATGGCCTTCTGGTAGTTGGTCTTCCAGATGTTACGTCCGTCAACAACACCAGCAGAGAGGACCTGGCCGGGGGCAAGAGCACCGGCAACGGTCTCGAGCTGCTCAGGGTTGCGGACAAGGTCAACGTGGACAGCGGCGACAGACTTGATGTCGTTGAGGATCTCAATGTTGTGGACAATGTCACCGAAGTAGGTGGCGAAGGTGATCTTGGGGATGGCATCACCCTGGGCGGCGAAGAGCTCGTAGGCGGGCTTGAAAGCATCCTTGGTCTCCTTGGGAAGGTCGAGGACGAGGACGGGCTCATCGATCTGGACAGTCTCGGCACCGGCAGCCTTGAGCTGCTTCAACAACTCAACGTAGACGGGGAGGAGCTTCTCGAGAAGGGTGATGGGAAGAACAGACTGGCCACGGTCTGGCTTTCCGAGGTGAAGGAAAGAGACGGGTCCAACAAGGACAGGGCGGGTGGTGATACCCTGGGCCTTGGCTTCGTTGAACTCACGGACGGGCTTGGGGTCAGCAGCAAGGCTGAAGGTCTGGTTGTCCTGGAGGGTAGGACGGACGTAGTGGTAGTTTGAGTCGAACCACTTGACCATCTCCTATAATTCGCATTGATTGCGTTAGTGCACTGGTTCATATTGAAATAGATCATCACATCTGATGGGCATAAAAAATTCACAATTGGTCCATTGCTGTGGGGCCAGCAAAGAGGGGTAGTGACCGCGCCATGGGGGGCCTAAGAGATGGAAAAACATTTACTGACCAAAGCGGGAACATCGACGGCAGGGCCAGTCTCAGTAGCAGGGCGCTGGAGACCACGTCCCATGGCGAAGAACTCGTCAATGGCAGGGAGGCCATACTTCCTGTACCTCTCGGGGACAGCCTATATTAAGAACGATTAATCATCACTCCGTGTTAACTCCGAGGTGGGTGGGTGTACGTACGTTGAAGAGCTGGATGTGGTCAAGAACGTGGTCGTAGAAAGAGAAGTCGTTGCTGGCAATGGTACCGGCACCGGCCTCCTTCTGGAGCTTCCAGTGGGCAGCACGGAGGGTCTTTCCGGTCTCGACGAGGGACTCGACGCTGGACTTTCCGCCCCAGTAGGCCTCAGTGGCCTTCTTGAGCTCACGGTTTCCTAAGAATTTCCATCAGAAACAGTCATCGACAGAAAAACCATGGAGATGAGGTAAAACATACCACCCATACGGGGGAATCCAAGAACGGATCTAATTGATGCAAACAAACATTAGCCATCGTCACCTCAATCCAATTCCTATCCTCGAGAGAGGGGGAATGAGTCAAACTTACGAGGAAACCATTATGAATTGTGATGGAAGATTTGGTTTTTTGTTAGTGAAGAGTTGCAATTGATACTTCTTCTCGTTCTCTTCGATGGCGGAGGGTTAAAAAAGAAGATGGGAAAGAAGGAAAAAAAATAAAAGGGGGGAGGAAGGAGAAAATTTATTTGAAAGTCCACGGGATGGTGGGGGGTTGTCGTTTGGCTGACTGGCGGGGTAACAACAGTGCAGCAACTTCCTAGGCAAGGATTAAATAAAACTGCCCCACGCTAAACCTACTTACATAAAAGGGTCTTGCCATGCACCAACAGAAAAAATTATAAGCGATGGCGCAATATCTTCATATGAAACAAAACAATTCGGGCTCGCTCCCCTCCTCCTTCTCGCCGGTTGTAAGTTTAAGCTCGGCTAGCAGCAGCCCGCTGTTTGCTCTTTGGAGTGCAGCAGCACGCATATCCGAGACCGAGTGACCGGTCGAGGAGCACAGCACGCTGCACAGAGAACGAACACGGTTGGGCCACCGCCGCTGTGAAGATAACCGAATGCAGCAGATAGTGACCAAAAACGATATCATAAGGAGTTGCCGAAACGAGCTAGGATTGTCATTACATGTGCACTTTCACGGAAACAACTAAATTTCAGGGTTAGGTGTCGTTCACACTCTGCACATGTGCACACATATATAGAAAGCTACACTTCATGCTATTAATTAGAAACAGAAAGGTTTTGAAAAAAGGAAAAACAACAAACAAATCATTGACATCATAAATAGATATTTATATAAATTATAACGGATCTAGGAGAGATCCCTTCCCCACATCATGAGTTATCCAGTTGTTAAGTTCATGGTTCATGTCATCATTTACCCGTCATGTCAGCGGGGGAGAAAGAGATGGAGTTTTAAGCTTAGACTGCCCACTCTGAGAGGTCGTCTTGGGGCGTCACGAAGGCCTCGTCTATCCGCTTTATCGCAAACTCGCTGCAGAGGACACTATCACAACCACCACCTCAGCGTCAGCTAAAACCCCAAAAAAGCCGAGGCCAAAAACAAACAGACAAACAGACAAACGGGAAATAGAAAACGGGAAATATGGAAGAAAAAGAACTCACCACTCCGACGCAACAAGACTATCAAACTCCTCCACCGCCTTCTCCCTAATCCTCCCCCCCACCATCCCCCTCTCCATCCTCTCCTGCGCATCCCTGACCCTCCGCCCCTTCCCCGGCCCCACGCCCCTCAGCACCTCCCCCGTCAAACAGTCGCTATGGAACGCATGCTGGCACGGAAACACATAAAACAGCCTCGCCAGCAGCGGCATCTGGCACAGCCAGCACCGCTCGCCCGGCTCCACAATCGCATACCGCCGATCCAGCAGCTCCACATCCCGCCGTATATTCGCCGCGGTCCGCGCGGACTCCTCCATCTCCCGCTTCAGCGTGTCGATGGCGTGGCTGTGGTCCTCGAGCGCGGCGCAGATCTCGTCCTTGAAGTCGTCGATGACGACAAAGTCCGGGAAGAAGGGTATCAGGTCTTCGATCTTGAGGAGCTCGCAGCGGCGCAGGAAGTCGATGGCGGCCTTGATGCTGCTTGAGGAGGCGATGACGGCGCGGGCGACGGCGAGCCAGAGCTGCTTTCGCAGCGCGGTGTCGGTGGAGGGGCGGTCGGCGACGATGGATGCGAGGGTGAGGTTCCCGTGCTTCAGCGCCAGCTCGACGGCCTGCAGGTACAGCCCCATGGAGCTGTAGAGGTGCACGCAGCTCAGGACGTGGTTGTGGCGGATACATAGGCGGAGGGCAAAGTCTGCGTCGTAGTGCGGCGAGGCCGTGTGCGTCTCGAGGTATGAGAGGAGGTGTGTTTCGTCGCGGCTGGGATGCGAGGCGTAGATGCTGAGGAGGGTGTTGTGGACGGCGGCGTCGGTGGAGCCGTGCTGGTGGATGACGAAGAGGAGGTAGCGCACGGCCTGGTTGGCGTTGAGCGGCGCGCGCGTGTACTTGTTGTAGTTGAGCAGCGCGGGGATCAGGTTGCGCGGCGTCAGGTTGCCCTGCCGCATCAGGATGTCGACGGTCTCCGTGGGCGCGTTGCTCAGCAGGACGCTGGCGTACTTGTAGAACATCTCGGGGTCCGTCTGTTTCTTGAGGACGGACAGGGCCTCGTGCCATTGCTCGCGCTGGATCCAGTAGGCGAGCACGTAGCTGTAGTCGCTGATGGTGTTGGCGTAGTGGAGGAGCTCGTCTTTGCGCCCGTGGGAGGAGATGATCTCGTAGGTGGTTTTGCGGTCGAGGGAGTCCTTGTGCGCGGTGATGAAGGATTGGTATTCGGACCGGACGGAGGCGAGTTGGGCGGTGATGTCGGCGGAGGTGGTGATGGAGGAGGTGGCGTGCGTGGCGAGCGTGGAGAGGCTGTCTTCGAGGGTGTTGAGCTTGGCCATGAAGACTTCGACGAGCCAGGAGGCGGTCATGATGCGTTGCATTACGGCCTGGAAAGGGGGGAGGGAGGTCAATGATTGTTTAGCTAGTTTTCAGTGTAGCGTAGCAATATAGCAATATAGCAATAACCCAAAGCCAAGAACCAAAACCAAAAAAGCAAAACCAAGAAAGCAATAAAAAAAAGAGAGAGAGAGAGAGAGCACTTACACTCTTCTTCAAGCTCCCCAACTTCACCAACAAATACCTCCTCAACGCGTCCTGCTCCCCCCGCTCAAGGAACGTCAACGCCACCTCCTCAAAGCTCTTACTACACCCCCCCCACACGCCCGCCGCCTCCTCATACCGTCCACACCTCACCAAATACTCGCCCTGCCCCACGGCCACCGCATCCCGCTGCGCAGGGGTCTTCGCATACCTCATCGCGCGCTCAAACGCCCTCTCCTTCAGCAATATCCTCCACAGATCCCGCTCCTCGTCTACAACCACAACCTCATAGATCTCGCTCGCCGTAAACACCCAATACGTACACTTCTTGAGGTCCGCGCAGATGCCGAGGATGCGCGTGCCCGGGTCGACGATGCTCTGCGAGAAGACGATGCTGTCGTCGAGGCGGTTGATGGCGTAGAGGGTGGTGCCGCTGAAGGCGAGCACGTGGTGGTGCGTGAGCGCGATGGAGTTGGGCTGCGAGGAGAGCGCGGTGGAGGGGAAGAGCTTGGAGGTTGAGAGCACGTGGGCGCCGAGGTCGGGGTTGGGCGGGGAGGTGAGGAGGCGCCCGTGGTAGATGCCGGGCGAGCAGAGCCAGGCGAAGGAGCGGTCGGGGTCGTGCGGGTCGGCGCTGTCGGGGGAGGTGCAGAGCGCGCTGAAGGGCGTGGAGGTGTCGTGGAAGTCCTGGATCACTGCTCCGTGTTAGCTTCTACCCAGACAGCAGTGCGGGTTTTGGGGGGGGGGGGGGGGGGGGTGTGGGTGGGGTAGTACTTGGTCCCTCCGCCTCAAAGAACCTCGCAAAAATCGACCCCACATCCGAATGCCTCTGCACCCTTCCCACCCAATGCATGACGGCCCCCGCCGTCGCCACCAGCACCCTCCTCAGCTCACTCTTCCCCGGCAGGGCATCGACCCAGAGGCCCGTGACGCCGCTATTATCAGCCATCTTGTACACCTGCTTAAGGTACTTCTCGTCCTTCCTCATAAACGCCGCGCCGCCGCCGTCGTCGAGCCCGTCGATGAACGTCTCGTAGACGCTGCCGTCCTGCGTGCCGAGCAGGATCTCGCGCGTGCTCGTGGTCGGCAGCGCCGGCGACCAGGCGACGCACTCGATGTGCAGCGACTTGAGGCGGCCCAGGTGCCGCGCCTTGGACGAGCGCGAGTGCAGGTAGAAGTTCTCGCCGTGCGTGGTGGTGATGAATAGGTGGGAGGCGGTGGGGTCGAGGAAGATCTTGCGGATCGTGCCGACTTCGGAGGGTTTGCGCGGGAGGTCGATATCTGTTCCGATCCCCCTACATCAGCTCCACTCTCTCTCTCTCTCTCTCTCTCTCTCCCCAACAACCCCCCCAAAACGGGAAACCCGGGGCCGGGCCAGCGACTAGTATAACCCACCGTCGACGTTCTCCGGACTCGCCAAATCGATCCTCAGCAGTCGCCCGCTCGTCAGCGCCAGGATGATGACATTGTTCGCGACCTGGACCGCCACAAAGTCGGCGCCGACCTGCGCCTGCAGCTGCACGAGCTCGACGCGGAAGATTGGGTCCAGTGCTGCTGTGGTGGTGGGCGGGGCGTTGGCGTCGGCGGCGGCGGCGGCGGCGGCGATGTAGTTTGTCGAGTTGAACTCGGACGGGTCGAAGGCCATTGCGCTTCTTTTGTGTGCTCGTGAGTGGTGAGGGGTGGTATAGGTGTTGTGTGGTGTGGGGGGGGTGAGTGGAGTGGTGGAGTGGAAGAGCTGGTGGAGAGCTCCAGTGGTGAGTGGAGTGGAGTGGAGTGGAGTGGAGGCTCGGTGTTGCGTGGGTGTGGGTGTGCGTGTTGGTTGGGGCCTGCGTTGTCGTGGGCGTGCCAAGAGAGAGAGCGAGCGATAGTGTGGGGATCGGCGGTGTGCGTCATGGGCTGTCACTCGCTCGCACACACGCTGCAGGATGCGGGATGCCTTTCTTCACTCACAGCTGTGCAACTCGACGCTCCCAGCAACAACAACAACAACTGCAGCTGGACTGCTGCATCGACGCAGGAACGCCGGTGATACGAGAGCTGCTGGGGACTTTGTCTACAGAAACAGATTAGATGCAATCAATGCCGATACACGGGCAGCCGGGAATCGGCATCTATATTGATTACAGAGGACGATAGTAGTTATTTCAAGGAGATGGAGTACGGCTTTCGTCTTATCCTACGCCCCCCCCCCCCCCCTTCCTTCCTGAAAGATAGGACATGAATGTTTCTAATTGGTTTTGTTTATATCACTACAGGAACGGCGGCACAGAACAAAACACTCAAACACCAAGCATATATGGACCAACACAACGCTTTCCATTCCCCGCTACAGAGCCAGCTCCAACACACAAACGAGAACCCACCCCCCCCCCCAAAAGCCCCACCTCACCGCCCTCACTTCGCCCCAATCCTCCTCTCCGCCTCCTCAAACCCGTCCAATACCTCACCATACGCCTCCCACACGCCCTCCGTATACCCCTCCGCCACCTTATTCACCTTCCCCTCCTCCTTCCACCTCGCGCCCACAAACTCCTCAAACCCCTCTCCCTCCGCTCTCTCCAGCGCCCACGTCGCATAGTACGCCGCGCCCAGCGCACACGCATTGCTGCCCACATCCAGCCGATACACGCCCTCCACGCCGCCCAGCACCTCGCCGACCACCTCCGCAATCGCCTGGTTCCTCGACGCCCCGCCCACAACATACACGCGATGGGGCTGCTGCCTCCCGCCATTCACCTTCGCGTCCGGCCGCAGCAGCGGCCGCGCCCTCATGCGCATCGACAGCGCCTGCGACTCGAGGATCGCGCGCGCATCGTCGCCCGCGCTCCACCCGCCCCCCTCCGCGAGCTTCCCATCAGAGTACTCGAAGCGCCAGGTGCCCGCCTTGACGTTCGGCACGATCTCGGGGATCGGGAAGTAGATTCCCAGCTTTGCGGGGTCCGTGGGCGCGGACTTGCCGAGTGGCGGGGTGGCCAGCGCCGTGCTGTTGAAGCTCGACCAGGGGTCGGCGGCGGCGTGCGGGGGGTGCAGCTTGTTGAGGGCGTCGCGGACGGACTCGCGCGCGAGCGCGCCGTTGCAGTAACAGAGCATGAACATGTAGAGGCCCTTTGTGGTCGGGTGGTTGAACATGTGGTAGGAGGGCGACGAGACGTACGTCGGCGTGCTCATCAGGAGCGTTGTCGACGTCCCCAGTGACACGATCACGTCCAGTGGGCGCAGCGGCAGCGCCAGTATCGTTGACGGGTTATCGCCCGTGAACGGGGTGATGGTGCAGTCTATCATTGGTCCCCCCCCCCCCCTCTGTCAGCATAGGATATCACTCGGTCGATTTGGGGGCTGACTACTACTACTACTACTACTACTGACCTGGGCTGAAACCGAAGCGCTCGACAAACCACGGCGAGACGGGGCCAAGGTGTTTCCCGTGCTTGGTTTCGACGGGGCCGAGGCGGGCCTTGAGGCCGTCGACGCCGCCGGGCTCGCCCTCGGCTGTGGTGGAGAGGAGCGTCTCGTCCCATTTCCCGCCCTGGATGTCCCACAGGTTCATTCCGCAGACGTCGCTGATGTCGAATGGCGCGATGCGGCCGAGAAAGAGCGAGCACAGGAACGACGACACGAGGGATATGCGCGCGGTCTTTTCGTAGACCTTTGGGAAGCGGCGGTGGAAGCGGAGGATCTGGGGGCCGGTGAAGCGCTGGTAACCAATTAGCATTTTGGCGGAACATGCAGGATGAATAAGAGTGGCCATACGTGATGTGCTTTCGACCCAGTCAGTCTTGCAAGGGCGTCCGCGCCGCCAATGGACTCCTCGAAGGTGTCGCACTCAGCCTGTGTGCTGTGGTCCTGCCAGTTCGGTGACCACGGGTGAGAGAAAGCCGCGGGCGAGAGCTGCTCCACGAGCCTCTGCTTTGCGTCAAGCTTTGCGAGGATCGTTTCGGCTTCGGCGGACCAGTAGCTATGGTGGATATTAGCTATTCGCTATTGACAAACTTATAGATATGTAGATTTGTATTGCGACTTACACACTGCCGTGCTGCTGCCCGGCGCCCGAGACGCCCTTTACGCGCGAGAAGTCGAAGCCTTTGGCCTGCATCCGGGTCAGGATGAGGTCCAATGCCTCGATCCACATGGCGACGGGGGCGTAGACTTGGTGCTGGTCATCGTTTGTGTGCACGCCTTTGGTGACGTTGTAGTGTGCGAGGTCGGTATCAAAGGTGATGATTTCCTCGTGCTGGGGTTCTAGGTCGCTGGAACATGCAAGAACTATTTGGAGTGGAGATGTTCAGTTAGGACCCTTCAATTCTCTTGCCTACGATACGAGAATAGCTACTACTAACCTTTCAGCTGCTGAGTCGAAAGGTCGAAGCCCAGGTACAATGGAGAAGAGGAAGCCATGAAGCTGATATTGCAGTACTTTCAAGTGGGTATCTCTACAAAAAAGCTCCAATTGCTAGTAGCGAAGAAAAGAGGGGAAATTGAGAACGATAAACTTATTCACATTAAATTCCCCGCTCTCAGGGGAAAGCATTTTATATCTGCTCCATCGCATCCATCGCATCCATCCCATCTGTCATTGCTCTTCCCTCACAGTGACGAGAGCGGGGCAGGGAATCCCACCCTCCCCCTCATATTTACCCGGGACTTTATCCGCGGTTGCTACAGAGCCTCACCCCCTGCTGTATGTAGCTCATCTGGCCTGCATTAGCCCGAACTAACCTTAAAGACATTTCACGAATCGCAGAATTGGACCTTCACGGCTGATGTGGTGAGTGAGTGGTACCGGTGGGGTCTCGTGGTTAACTATGCCGGCGATGAGTGTTAGCTACAATACCATATTATCCATTCCTACAGACCTCGGGTTGGGGTAATTATCCAGAATAAACGGCTCTTTAAACAGTGGAGACGTACGTGGGCCATAGTGGGCGGTGAGGATAATTCGAGAAATGGGCGCTTTTACTTGATACATGTAGTTTGCTTTTTGCGCATAGTCCGGTTCTTGCAGTTGTAGTACGTACATGAATGGTTGTATCATCTACCGGCTATGCGATGCGTGAAGAGGTTTTGTGACTAATTACACCAAATCTTGAATATCTGAGGTTGATTAGTATTCGAGAGAGAGAAAAGCCAGTTCCTTTCTGAATTTTGAGTAAGTAATGCAGGACTCACTAGCCAGTACTTCATGGGAAATCACTCGGTGACCTGACACACTGACATTGTTCCGCTAACCTGCCCCACACCGTCCTGAGACAGGCTTGAGAAAACCGAGTGAGTAGTTGTGAGCCAAGACCCCGTCACCAACAATTAGTGCACTAGCATATCATAACAAATTTCAAGCCGGTCTCGGGACAAGAGTCTCGATACAAGACTTCAATGTTTTCTGAGATGATCTTTTGAAGTACATAATCAAATAGAGAACCGAGAATATAGAGTGTATTGTATGAACAATAATTAGAAATAAGGAAGAGATAGAAGTCTCCTTCTTATAGGTAAAGTTTAGAGAACAAGATGGCTTTAAGACAAAAGTACAGATAGTTTGGGACCACCTTATACGCATCGTGAAGCGTCAATAACAATCACCGCAATGACTTGCCACAAATAACAGACGTCTCATCTCATGGAAAATACTCCATGTATCTAAGATAACTCGAATAGGGGGATTCCTCATCTGGGGGACCACGTGTTCCTTGTTGTTTATCTATAGAGGGATCTCATGTACATGTGCATGCGCAGCTTAGTGTTTCACACATCGACTCAAGATATATCTGAAGCCCACAGTCTAGAAATACGTATATAAGCTACTATACTGGCCGGCGAATCCATAGAATACCGCTACTTCCTACAATGACACTCGCAATAGGGACCCGGGGGAATAGATGAAACCACGTGCGCTAGTAGGAATTTTGCTAGTAAAGTGTTTGCTATCATTCTTTCCGTGGCCTTGGCTGAGATGCTGTTTGGAGAGAGAGCCTGGCACTGGTTTGGGCGTGTATATTCGGAGCCAACTTGGTAATGTTGGCTACATATGTAATCTGGGCGAGTCGACTGACCCAGATATTATAGGTGTAATTAGTGTAGTTATAATAGAAGGTTAACCGACAAAGTTTCGGCTAGTTGAGTTTGATGAGGATAAGAATGCATGAAATGCTTGGTGATTGGAGGAAACGAGATTTTGTGTTGTTTTGCGGATGAGAGATGTAAATGTGAACTACATGTACACGTGTATGTATTATGGCCGTGTGGCTTCCGAACTTTATCTTTGACAGCACGTGTACACACATGTCTACAAAAAATCAAAAGTGATCTGCAAGAGGAAAATTGCCGTACTCGACTCAATAAAGCTTAAGGACATCACTGCTATTCCAACCTCCTCGTCGTATCACCGCTCGAATCTCAACATAAATCAGCGAAATTTCAATACAGGAACTTCTCGATATCACTAATGGCCATGTGCCATACGCGTACACGGATATTACTACCAAGGAGGCCATACTGCAGCATCTTTCACCCGGCCTATCTGAGTGCTGAATCCATAAGAGCTGTAGTTCCAGCTATTATTCGAGCTCCTCTCAACACTGCTACTCAAAAGGCGAGTTTTTCATTAGAGATACTAGTAAAGATTAATCTTATATTAATAGAGATTATCTAGGCTCTCTTAAAACGCTGCCGCCAACCGGGGCCCGAGTGATCTCTCATGATGAACAGCCTACCATGCCAAGGTCCATGCGATCAAAACACGTTTCGCTGTATGGACTTTTTTGAATTTACTTGAAATATATCTATAATACGGAGTAAATTCTGGGCCGTATTTGGCATGGGGTAGGACTCTGACTTTTGCTTGAGTCACGTACTCTATGATACAGTTTACAGAAGATCTGTGCCCTGTATTTGCCCATGACAAGGCGCCACGATCTCATGACGAATATCTTGGTATGGGGTTTCGACGTCAGAGTACCTACCCTAAATTCCACCAACTTGTAAACCGGAACACTCGGTGCGTCAGCGGCGATTCATGCAGCGCCTGCGATTATCACTCGGATGGCTAATCGATGAGGTGGCTGGGATTGGGATGTGTATCTTGGCGGCAACGACCCCGACAGCAAAGTTGACGAAACAGGTATGATGTTTAGCCGAGATCACCAATAACAGCTCAGAGGCGAGCTGAGGTGGTCCGGCCGGGATCGATGGCGCTGTGGGGGAAGCGAAGCCTTAAGATTTTCTCAGATCAGTCGTTAATTTTGGGTTTATTGCATGCTGCAATTCTTTGACGTTTCTTTTTGACTTGACATAAGGCAAAGTTCATCGGAAATAGAAATTACGCAAAGTCTCGCGCGGGAAGATCTGGAGTGGGATTTTCACCTGCTTAGACAGAGCACGGTTGTTATTGCCGTTGGTGGTGTTTCACTTGTTGTAGCATTTGACATAATTGAGGAGGCTGGCTGCGCGGTTTGGAGCCTCTTCAGGATAGAATTTGATTCGCAGGCCTTTTCTGTTCTGTGTTTCCCCCCAACCTCCTTCGCTCCGAGAGAAATACTCCCACACCTTTCCATTCTTCTTGTGAGATCTTTTCCCCCTCTGTTTACCTGCTTGTTTCTTCGCGCATTCCATATCCACAAACACATTACCACCATTTTCTACGGCCGCTTTAGTTAACTTTCTACTCGACGGCAACGACAACAGCATTCCATTACTGGAAGCACTAAGTGAATAGGGCTAGAGCCGAAGGAGAGGGTCATTCAGTCTCAGAATGGCGCCTCGAGTGACCGGCTCTGCTTTCGACGGCAGGTGGGATGGGGCAAGATCGTTATACCTCCTGCCGCCGCTCGTGGGCCTTCCCTTGCCTGATATGCGGGCAAATGGTGTGTGGCTTTACTATTCACTACTAATAGCGTGTTCTTTAAGTCGAGCAACAAGCTAATAGTTTATTTGTGGGTTTTTAGGATACGGAGCACGAAACGCAGGGAACTCAACTTACTACAGGCTCATTGTTGTCCATGCTGTCTTCGCATGTTTGGCGTTCCTATTGTTTATCCCCGCGGCAATCGTTTGCACTAGGTACCTGATCCACGGAAGGAACCCGAGGACTGCTATGTATGGGCATATTGGTTCCAACACTGCGAGTATTATATGTTTGACTATCACTTTTGCCGCTGGGTTTTCCGCTGTTGGAAGGGAGAACTGGGGTACCAATCCACACCATGTGAGTTTATTTACGTTCTTATCAACGAAGACAAGAGAGAGTTACTGATTCCAAATAGATCATTGGCGCAACACTGTATGCTGGAGTACTCTTCCAGGCTTTATTCGGCGCATTCGTCCGTTGGCGCAATTCTACCAAAATCCGAAAACGAATTGCGCTTCACACTATGCTGCACCAATGGCTTGGTCGTTGCCTTCTATTTCTCGGATTGGCGCAGATTCCTTTGGGATTCTACCTCTACGGATCGCCCCTCGTATTATTTATTCTCTATGGCATCTTCATGGCCTTGTTCGTACTTGTTTGGTTCATTCTTGACTATCTTAGCGCCCGCGACTATTTCCACAACGATTACCACAGTCCCAGCAATGAGAGGCCACCGCGCGAAATGACAGAGACAGGAGCTCAATCAAGAGTCCATTCAAGAGTTCAATCAGGGATTACCCCACATGCAAGTGAGCTTGGGGAAGCGTCTAGGTTTGATGAGCCTGTGCAGACGCCGAGGCGTGGAAGGTTCAGCCTGTTTTCAAATGTGTTCAAAAAGCGCGAATCGGGAATGAATAGAGAAAGTGAACAGATGGTCATTGACGATCGCGGAACATCCTTTGACACCAGCAGAGCTCCCAGCACTAGCCTTGTCGCAGGAGGCCTTGGTGCCCCTCCAGGCAGACAGCCAATACCCCCCGTCCCGAATGTACCGCAAGCTCACCTTGTAAATCCTAACAACCAAGCCAATCTACACCGCGACAATAATGATCAATATGCCCCTCAACGAGAAGAATATGGACAAGGATATCGGGATAGCACTACACTCGGCCACGGCGTCCATCTACCACCCCTACAGCAACAACAGCATATCTCCATGCCCGAATCGCCTTACTCTTCCCAAACAACTAGCGGTATCAACAGTTCTGAACCTGTATCTGAAGTTAGTGCGCTTTCTTCAGGTGGTCGCAGATTTCCATATGTCCCCGTCAACACCCAGTACGAGCGCATAGGCAATGAGTATGAGGAGATGCCAAACTCTCCGGTTAACCCATCCGATGTCAGCGCGCTCTCTGCTGCCGGAAACAGGAGGTTCCCTGCAGTCAACACCCAATACGAACCTATTAGCCGCGAGTATGAAGAGATGCCACCTTCTCCAATGGGATACATGGAAGTTGATGACGGGTTTGCTCGTCCTCTCCAGGGAGGTGCTGTTGAACCGCCTATGGTACCGCTTCCCATGCCGCCAGAACCCCCACGCCGACCAAGCCATAGTCGCGGAAACAGCCGTGGTAATGGTAGCCGTGGAAGGACCAGTGAGGATGTTGTCCGTCTGCCTATTTCCCACAGCAATGAATTCTTGACCCTTGATAGAAGAGAAGCAACACCGGGATTCGAAACAATCCGACTATCAAAAGGAAACCCCAACGTCAGCGTCCAAGTTCGTGTCAACCCCGACGGGAAATCTGTTACTGTGCGCCGAATCCCCACCGAGGAAGCCGAACGTGACCGGAGGGAGCGAGCAAGACAGCGGGCGGAGCGTGCGCAGCAGCGGGAAAGGAGTATGGACATTGAACGACAAAATCGCAGATCTGGATCCGCGAATCGGGGTCGTCGATCCTCTTCTGTAGAAAGACCCGATACACAGCACGGCAGTAGCGTCCTTGGAGCAGATTCAAACATCTCCAGTGCCATTGCAGGTCACAGCGGTGGTCTCCTCGGCGGCTCCTCGGCAGTTCCATCACCGCCTTCACGACATCCACAAACGCAGTATGCGCCGCAAATACCAGAGCCGCCAAGAGCAGTGGTGCAGACACCTATAAATCAGGGCGTTCCTCTGCCAGGATGGACGGGCCTTGGGGGCGGTATATCCCCCAGTCAGCGGGGAAGCGTGGTTAGTGCCACGGGAACAGAGGCAAACTCAGAGTTAGAGCAGGAGATGGCGAAAGATTATCGGAGAAAGAAGAGACGTGAAGAGAGAAGTGGGATGGCGCCAAGCTCGCAGGCCGTCAGCGGGCCAGGGAGTACACTGATGAGTAGCAGTATCGGCTACGGCGATGACGCTGAGGATGGCGGCGTCCAATGGACATGATTTTGATGAGAGCCTTTTTGTTATTATTTGTTTTGGCGGAACTTTGTATTTTTTATTTTTTTCTCAATCCTTCCTTTTCCTGGGCGAATAGATGGGTGACGAATCTTTTTATTTCTGATTTCAGTGGGTTATACGGGGAAGTGGGTTATTTTTTTCTTTCTTGTTTATGAGATATCACGAATATTTTCCTTACGTCATTTACGGGGGTTGGGACGTTAACGAAAAAAGAACAGCAAGGGGGTTTTTCTTCTTCTTTATATAGCCATATATCCTTTTTCGTCTTTTTGGGAGGATGGGAGTTTTTTCTTTTTTTTTCTTTGAAGATATCCTGATTATGTGGTAGCTGAAGCTTATATGGCTTGTACGTTAATGCGGCTGGGGGTTTGAGATGAAGCATATTGATTTCGGGCTGGTGGGATGGAAATGGGGTTATGTTGAATCCAGGATGCTGTTACGATGTCAAGTAGATAGGACGAATTGAACGACACAGATGAAAACCCAGTCACCACATGGTCTGTTTTCAAGGCAAATCACTTGAGTGTGCTTTTGTTCAAATACTCCCACGACAGCTTTTGAAAATCTCGGAAAAAATGTTTGAATGAACTACATGTAAGTTTCTAACCCCTATAAAAGAGCATTGCGCGCCACATAAACCATCCTACCACAATACCTCCAAACTATTACAACACCCCCAAACTGCTATAACACCCCAAAACTATTACTATTCCCACAAGATGTCTGCACAAAACCAACGTACCCCAACGCCCTGCCCAGAGTGCACTGTCACTCCCACCACCACCCCACACACCTTCTGCACATCCCCCACCTGCCCCGGCTGCAGACAAACCAAACTCTGGATCGACTGGGCGCACGAAAACAGTCCCGACACCTTCCAATGCCCGCAGTGCCACAACACACCTACAGACATGGAAGGTCTTGTCCTACAGCACACCATCTGTGCAACCTCCCTTGGGCGCAACCTGACCGTAGACGAAGAGATGGAGCTAATCTTCTGGCTGCAGGACTTCTCCAACGATCTGAGATGGATGTTGAGGGTGGAGTATACACGCATCTGCGAGGGAAACATGATCATCACGGAGGTAGAAGAGGATGAGGGGGGTGATCGTGAGTGGGCGACCTGGATGCTGGACGAGCACTGGTTGGCTGAAAAGATTGATGACGAGAAGTATGAGGAGATGGTAGAGTATTTGCGGGAGAAGGACGATTAGGAGTGTGTTATGTGTAGCCTTTTGTGTTTTGCGATGAAATTAAAGGGGAGGAAAAAGTTTACTGGAAACCTGAGAGATTATCATTGGTACAGAAATGCACCGAGTGATGAACTGTGACTCAGATACAATATCAATAAAACATCCGTGTGATGCAGAAGAAAGAATTCAACATTATTACAAATAATAGACTAGCCGGCATTTATCAAATATCGAGTGATAGATTGTGTTGCAATTTTGCAGCTACATAACATGCACCGTTTTATTAATTGGTTCAGTTCAGTTGCTTGAGAGCATAAGAGAAAAGAAGAAAAGACTCCAAGCAGAGGGCCTATAAACAAAAAAAAAAATTCCACAAAGTCGCGTTAAAAAACTTATTTATTTGCTTTTTTGTACTTTATCCCTCTCTGAAGAGCAGTTGAATTTATGCCATCATGTTGTCCCCCCTTCCTAATGCCGCCACATTACTTCAACTACTTAACACATCACTAGCACACATACACATCTGCCGCTCTTTCTTTATTTCAAGATTTGCAGGCAGAGAGGCATTTCAACTTAATGAACCGGGATGATTTTTAAACTTCGGTGTTCAACACACGGAGACTAAGCATCAAGAGTCAGTCCACAACCTAAATTCTGACACTACGGTCTCAACTCTCTTTCTTTCCTAACGCTCTTATAATAGGAGCGATAAGGAGAGGAAAAGAGAAGAAATCGAGAGCGGACAGGGGAATTCCTACGTGTTGGTGTTTCCAAGACCACCCCTCCATCCCTGGACGGCGATGATGGTGTCACCCTTGTCGAGGAGACCGAGGCGCATGGCCTCAGCCATTCCCCATCTGAGACGCTTGTCAACGTCCTCTTGCCAAACGGTCTTGTCGAAGTCGGGCTTGGCCTCTGGGTAAACGAAGGGGTATACACCGCGGTACAGATGTGAGTACCTGGCGGCATTGCCGTTTCGGGTGATCTATTGCACAAGCATCAAAATCGGAATTCCAGTGTGTCTTCAAAAGGATATCTTACCATGAAAACGGGGCAGCTAGGGCGGTATTTGGAAATGAGACGGGCAGTAGACCCGGATGTAGACAAAACAATGATGGCGCGAGCCTTCTGTTCCAATGAAGCACTGACAGCGGCGATAGCGCAAGTCTCGCTGGTCTCAGTGGGGCGAGGAGTCAAGCTTCGGAGCTCGTTGAAAAGAGGGGCATATGAGATAGCAGTCTCCGCAAGCAAGCAGGTCTCGTGCATCATTGTGACAGACTCGATAGGGTAGTCACCCTTGGCAGTCTCTCCAGACAACATGACACAGTCGGCACCGTCAAGAACAGCATTTCCAACATCAGAAACCTCAGCACGGGTAGGGCGGGGGTTGTATGTCATGGACTCAAGCATCTGAGTAGCGCAGATAATGGGCTTTCCAGCGAGGTTGCACTTGGCGATCATCATCTTCTGCGCAATGAAAACCTGCGCAGGGGGGATCTCGATACCGAGATCACCACGAGCAACCATGACACCGTCAGTCTCCTTGAGAATCTCGTCAAAGTTGTTGACACCCTGTTGGTTCTCAATCTTGGCAATAATCTGGATTTCCTTTCCATCTTCGCCGAGAACCTCACGGATAGCGGTGATGTCCGAACCGTGACGGATGAAAGAGGCGAAAATCATGTGCACGCCGTTCTTTACACCAAATCGTAGATCGGCCTTGTCCTTCTCTGATAGAGGAGGAAGGTCTACATCAGTCTTGGGAAGGTTGACACCCTTCTTTGAAGAGATTTTGCCGTTGTTCAAGCACTTAGCCTTGATGGTCTTTTCGTCGACAACCTCGATGACCTCGAACGAGAGAACACCGTCGTCGACGTAGATGATACGGCCCGCAGAAATGACCTTGGTGATGTTCTTGTAGTCAACGTACATGATTTTCTCGTCGCAAGCGGTGGCATATTGGTCATCGGTGGTGATTATGATCTCCGCTCCCGCAGAGATCGGGTGGTCACCACCGTCCTTGGTGTTACCAGTACGGATCTCGGGTCCTTTCTATAAATGGTTTAGCTATTAAAAGGTAGAATTTAAAGCTCAGTAGAACATACGGTATCAAGAGCAATTGCCAATGGACGACCAGGCTGAATTCTCTCAGCCTCCTTGGAGTTGTCGATGACAGATTGGTGGTACTACTCGTCAATTCTTATCAGCACCGATAACAATTTTTTGAAACACCCCCACTATACACCCCACCATAACAACCACACGTCACCCAAACAAAGGGAAGTTGAAGCGCGGCACAGGGAGAGAGCAAAAAGTTACCTCATATGAACCGTGAGAAAAGTTCATTCGCACAATGTTCAAACCAGCTGTAAACTTGAGATTAGTGCCTACCAATATTTCGTTGAAGCGGGGAGGGGTAAAAAGATACCTTTACGCAGGTTGTTAATGGCCTGGACAGAGTTTGTCTTAGGTCCTATTTCGAAACTTGATTAGCTTTCACCCAGTAGGAGCATAGCAGAGCAGCGAGCGGGAGAGAGAGCATTTAGAAAGAAAAACATACCAATCGTACAAATGATGGAGGTCCTCCTGTAGTTCTTCTGCTGAGGGACATGGTCCACATCAAGCTGGCTCAACCACTGGTAGTGGGACTTAACACTCTCATGCTCGGTGAAGGCCATCTTTACTCTTGATTATATGGGATGTTAAAAGGGATTAGGTTCGAGCAGGTGGATGAGTGGAGAGCGGAGATGGGGCGATGAAGATGGAGAGAGAAGGAGGTTGAGAAGGAAAGGAGGAAGATGAGAGGAGGCGAGGGTGAATCTATAGTACGGCAGAGACCCGTGTAAGAGGCAACCCAATCTTCAGAAATTCGCCGGGCTAGATGGATGCTGCAGAGGGGCGGGGTTTGATCGATTAATTGATTGATGGTGGTCATGATCTGTATCCCATCCCTACCTACTGTATGTGCTATTCTGACATTTTGCCTTATTTTTCATTACACCCAACCAGCCTATTCTCTTCTATTGTTTCTTCTACCACGAGTACATTTTTCTTTTCCGATTGAGTCCTGATTGCTATGCATTGCAAAAAATATTCTTTTACTCCCCCCTTTTGAAATTTGTTTACACACCGCGGACGCGGCCAACTTATGAATTTCTCCGGCGGGACGCGCCTCGCCAACCACCAAGCTCAACTTTACCTGGGCTGGGCTGGGGTTGGCTGGGTCCGCACCCCCACCAAACCTACAACACAAACTTTGTCAATGACTAAAAAAAAAGAAAGGGTAAGATCGAATCCCCGCTATCTACGAACCCCCCTCCAAGCAAAAAAAACAAAAAAACAACTCAGAGGAGCCCTGTCTTTGGATATTTATCATGTAAGAGAAGCTCCTCAATTCGCGGTGGTAACCATAATCCACGGGGATCAGATCGAATATTAGGAGAATTATATATCTACATGTAACCGCATACATATGTAGATCAATGCATTGTTCCTGAGCGTAATCCAGCACAGGCATAGGTACCTTATCTCCCATCATAATTCCCTGTCTAGTCTTGAGAATAGCTTTATCTAAAAATCGTTCATAGTATGAAAGAACTGATAAGACGGCTGAGAAAACGTGCAGCCATGAGAGGTCAAATACCAACCTAGGATGAATCCAACCCACGTGGGCCTAGCAGTGACATTTTACGGATTGGATACACTGATTGCGGATAATAAGAGAAAACAACTCCTCCAGATTAGGCGCAGGCTGAAGAAGGCCCAGCTCACCGGTATTCACTGCGGGGCCTAATGGTGGTGATGATGAGGGGTCAGTTGTTTCCACTTTTTCTCCGTAGTGACCAGGCCGGGTAACGAACGGCCAGTTACAATCCATGCTGTACGTCCATACCCCTACACTTGGAGAGGTGATAATGCGAATCCCCCGGGATACTGCTGCCGGAGTGCATTTGTAGATGGCGTGGGTCCCGTACCCACCCCACCATCTACCTAGCAACGGGGTAACACCGTAATAAAACTCCTTCTTACAGGCCAGCATGGCAGGGTTTGAGTGTGTAACTGCAGTAACAAATAGCATGTACCTGCTCTCCCCAGTACCCCCACGGTAGAGGTGAAGATCATCGGTAATCACTCGCGGGTACATTACGTTTGTTTTCGTCAAGGAATCGTTAATCATTTGTTATAAAGTCGAACTCCCACCACTCCCCCCTACCCAACCGCTTAGACTTCTAGGAAATACAAAATAAAGAGTATCCAGATATAAAAAAGAAAGAGAGAAGGAAAGATACCGCCATGGATATGGTTTAAGGGGACAGGTAAGTACATGGCAGTAATTACTTTGAATCCAATGGCTTAACACCCTTCCAGATACTTGCGACACCAAAGGTTAATTCCTCATATCCTTTTCCAACATTCATAAACCCAGCTTCCTTAATCATAACCGCAAACTCCTGTTGGGTTGGGAATTTCTTAATGGACTCAACAAGGTATTGATAGCTGTCCCTGTCACCGGCAATAAGTTGTCCCATCAGAGGGATAACAGAGAAAGAGTACTGCTGGTAGATGGCGTCTAGCGGCGCAGGTGAAACCTTAGAGAACTCAAGACAGGCGAATACACCGCCGGGCTTTAGAACCCGATGGGCGGCCTTGAGTGCCATGGGGATGCGGGTGACATTACGGATACCGAAGGAAATGGTATAGAGATCAACTGAGTTGTCTGGAATGCTGTCAAGTGTCTCAGCGTTCTCCACGCGGAAAGAGATACGATTGGCTGTACCCAATTAGTAAGAATGTCTCAAGTGGTGGATGTCTTATCGCTTATCGAAACGAAAAGTGCGGGGGTGACAGATGATCACTGGCACTGAGGAGAAGTCTGGGAGGAGTAATTACTGGACATGTATCCTTGCTGCTGAGCACGTTTTTCACCCTCTTTCAACATATCAGCGTTGATGTCTGCGCAGATGACGGTGGTTTCACGGTCGCCATTGATTTTGTCGGCGTGATCGAGCATGCGGAAAGCAATATCTCCGGTTCCGCCAGCGACATCAAGGATGGCCATAGGTGAGCCGCCAGGCTTTCGGCCAGGGTTGAGAGATCGGACGAAATGATCTTTCCATAGACGATGGATGCCAAAGGACATAGCATCATTCATAATGTCATATGAAGAAGCAACGGAGGAGAATACCTCAGCAACTATCGGTATAGCTCAAATGTCAACATTTGTTTTTACATTTTTTTGTTTCTTTCTGATTTTAAGTAAATGACTTTTGTAGAAAGAAATACTTGCCCTTTCCCGCTTTCAGTGATTCTTTGACTGTTTGGAACCCAAAGTGAGTCTCTGCTTCAGATGCTTGAGATTGACTGGAAGAAGCGGGTTTTGAGGAAGTTGAATAAAAAATGGCGGCACGGGGAATTGCTCCAAGGGCGGATTTTGCAGGCGCCATTAAGGCCTTGTTTCTGACGAGACGGAATGCCATTATTATCAATGTTTAAAAGTTGATAATATGGGTAAGATATCGTGAGTACGGCAGTTGTAAGTGGACAGGAACTTTGATACCTTTCCCACCCATGTATATCAAGCGTTGCATGCAGGTCTGCGGCAATGCAGCAACTGTCAGGTTACCCGGCTAATATGTCGTTGATTGACGCCACATCAGCCACTGTTATGCGTTGTCAGCCACTGAATTGGCGACTGTCGGCCTTCTCTCTCCCTTTTCTCTCCGCGTCTTCCTTCGAAGCAGCACACTCGACACGTTCCACCACTGCTATCAGGAACAACTAATACAGCACTGGCAGTTCATATTTCTACATACTGCTCTCAACCCCACCCATTGGGAACACAATATCCCGACTAAAATCATCCTACTACATACATCCCATCGCGCAGATCACTCTTTACCCTTCTCGGTAAATAAGTATTTCTTCAGCGGCAAAACTCCTAAACATTCATCTCGTATAGCAAACGTTTCTCTCAGCCTTCATCGTCAATAATAATGAACGGTGACAGTTACACCTCGTCAAGGGGCGGTATGAACCCAACTGGATCAACATCTGCTGGAGTCAAGCAAGAGCGGGTTACTGATGTTGCAGTCCGCCCTGCAGATAGGCACAATTATTCATCATCGCGTGAATATCACGTAGGTTTAACTACAGCCTCGCAACTCCTCAAAAAGTAATTTTACTAACATGCACTCTCTAGTCATCTGATCGTCGAGACAGGGACAGGGACAGAGATAGAGATAGAGATCGGAACGACCGACCCCGTCGCGAACGCTCGCGATCTCCACATCGCTCTTCGAGAGCAAGTAGGCGCGAGGATTACTACGACGGCGGAGCACGGGACAGCTATAGAGAGCGCGATCGTGACGGCGGAGATAGGTATACCGGTGGTGGCGGCCGCGATAGAGACTTTGATAGGGAGAGGAGACGTGGTGGCGATGGCGGCGGACGCGGTGATAGGCGAGGTGAAAGGGCCTCTAGACAAGAGACCAGAAGCACGAGGGGTGCTGTGGATGAGTTCCCTGCTGCCCAAAGAAAGCGGTCTGCAACACCGCCTGTGAAGAAGAGGGAGCCGACACCTGATTTAACTGATATCATTCCTATTAATGAGAGGAAGCGGAGAATGACCATGTGGGATATTAAGCCTCAAGGATATGAAAACGTCACTGCTGAACAAGCAAAGCTTTCTGGTCAGTCGCACATATACCCAAATCTTATCTTATATGCTAACATGCAATTCAGGAATGTTCCCACTCCCCGGTGCGCCGAGACAGGCCCCAATGGATCCCACCAGGCTTCACGCATTTATGACACAGCCAAGCAGCGTAGCAACAGCAGCTACACTCAAGCCCACAAACTCACGCCAAGCCAAGCGTCTTTTACTCAGCAATCTTCCCCCAACATCTGATGAGGAAAGCTTACTGCAGTTCTTCAACCAATCATTGTCTTCGCTTAACGTCGTTACAGGCAGCCCAGACCCTATAACCTCCGCGCAGCTCTCATCTAGCAAAGACATAGGTCTTCTTGAATTCAAAAACACAAATGATGCCACAGTTTGCTTAGCTCTCTCAGGAATTGTGTACAAGGGTGCCAAGGTTGACATCAAGAGGCCCAAGGATTACATTGTACCTCTTGTAGCTGATGACTCTGGTCACCACGAACCAGGAGTTATCTCTAGCAATGTGCCTGATACACCTAACAAGATTTTGGTATCACAAATTCCGGACTATCTGCAGGACGAGCAGGTCATCGAACTCCTGAAGAGTTTTGGTGATCTTAAGGCTTTTATTCTGGTCAAGGACACGACTGATGATGTTTCCAAGGTACAACCAACTCCAGATATACTAACCAAAATCAAACTAATGTCCCCTTTGCATTCGCAAAATCTTTTGAAGAAAAATATGCAAGGCAAAAAGTGCGAACGGAAAATCTATTCCGTTTCAACAAATGCTTATTGGGGACATTATCATTTTAATTTTAGTATAGCTATTAACCTTTAATTTTTTACTTTTCTATATTTAGGGAATCGCCTTTTGTGAATATCTAGAATCCAGTACCACAGATATTGCAGTAGAAGGACTCAACGGGATGGAGCTAGGCGACAGCACACTCCGGGTCCAGCGCGCTTCTATCGGAATGAAACAAGCTGCCGGAGTTGAAATGGGTGTTAACGCAATGGCCATGATGGCAGGGACTACAAGTGTCGACCTGGAAGCTAGTCGCGTCCTCCAGTTGCTAAATATGGTTACACCGGATGAATTGATGGATCCCGACGAATATGAAGGTAAACTAGCCTTTTCTCAAATTACTGACGAAATGATTACTAACTTTTGATTAGAAATTTGCGAAGATATTCGTGATGAGTGCGAAAAGTTTGGAGCTCTTGTTGACATGAAGGTTCCCCGTCCTAGCGGCGGTAGTAGGCAAGCAGCTGGCGTAGGAAAGGTACAATATTATTCTTCATATCTTCTGATGATTATCGATTAACCCTCTGCAGATTTTCGTCCGATTCGAAACACAAGAATGTGCATCCACCGCCCTCCGCTCACTTGCAGGGAGGAAATTCGCCGATAGGACTGTAGTCTGCACTTACTTTTCAGAAGTATGTTTCTATCCTATTACTGTTTTCCTCCATCCCGTACACTAACCAATTTCTTCGGTATAGGAGAATTATGAGGTGGGCGCATTTTAAAAACCAGTAATCGTAACAGTAACAAGCCGCAACAGCAAGATCCTCCCCCTCCATATCGTATTCTTTTGGGCAAAAAACAAAAGGAAAAGTGAAAGTAACAAAAAAAATTTGCATCAGCCCACACTTTCGCATGCCCTTATGTCGTTAGTTAGTTAGTAGTTTAGCTTAGTCTATGCCTCAATATTCAAAATTTAAAGCAAATAATCGGCGGAGGCGCACCAAACAGGAGGACAGTGGCGAATTTAGTTTAGCGCTTGAGGATATAACAGCATGTACCATCGAGTGATTGCTTATGATTCATGATTATGAACCCTGTGAAATGTATTGCTCTAGTTCTTAAACTATCGCACAAACTACATGTACGAAGTACTCGGTATAGAAGATTAGCCAGTTGTAATTTTAGCGGAGGTGTAAAAGGGTACTTACATGCACGTAGTCTTATTTATGGAGCGGTAAATGTGTCAAAAGTAATTTTACCAACGGTAGTAAATTATTTACCACCGGTGGTATAAGCACTGAATTTCAGTCATTGTATCTGCACGCTATCCTACATTAGTACATTTCCACTGGTATAAACACTGAGTTTCGGTCTTTATGCTACACTATACTAAATAAGTAAATGTTCAATCATTAATGCCAAAACTTATGAAAATTTCCCACTGGTGGTGAAATACCGCCACCGATGGTGAAATTCCCCACCGGTGGACAATTTTCATATATGTTGGCATTATATGGCCCCTTTTGGCCAAAAGGTCTGTGCTTTTATCATAAAAATTAGCATTATAGGGTATAAATACTAGGATTATTTTCACCACCAGTGGTAAAATAATTTACTACCGTTGGTAAAATTACTTTTGACACATTTACCGCCCCATACGTATTACAGGAACGGACGATGGGCGTACTATTGCGACTACGTACTTTTATTCAACATCAGCTTTTATATCGCATTCTTACCTGAAATCATACGCTTGATACCCTCGACATGCTCATTGAACCGGATAATATTTACAAATGTAATATCATTCGGCCATTTCCCACTGCAAAAATGAAGAGAGCGCATAGGTACTAATCCATTGATCTATTCATAGGTACACGTAGCCTTCTACATCTATACGACAATATTACAATACTTATCCTCTCTAGATCTCCCAACCCCCGGTCTTAAAAAGACAAAATAACATGATGAAACGAAACCTGCAACAGTGGGATTATCTGGCGAATTCGCGAACCAAGAAAAGATTAAGTGCTCCCACCAGTATAGATCTTCTCAGCGTTCCCCAGCCTCCTCTTTGAGCACCTCTACTGGATCAACTGAAGAAACCTCCGGTCTAAGCGCCTTCATTTTGTTCTTACTGAGATTGCTTTTTGGAGGAGCTCCTTCGGGTCCGTCTTCCTTAGTATCCTTAGCTGTCCCATCTTTATTATGGGCGCGCTCTTGGTACGCAGCGCTAATCTCTTGGTACGCATTGCTGAAGGCGTTGTCGGTATTAGTACTTTGAGGCATGAGATGAGTCCTAGCGACGCCGATATGGGAAGTGTAAGGAGAAGAATGAGTCACACGGCCCATGGCCCTGTTGATCATGTCATCTGCTGGACGTGATGCATATGAATATGAGCTCCATGGATCAGCATAACTCCCTGGTTGAGGCTCGTGTGAACGATTTTGTGCTTGGTATTGATCGCGGTTTTCATCCTGTCCGACTCTGCTAGGCATTTCGAATGTCCCCGCCCGGGTTGGGGGTAAGGGTTCAGCGTATTGTATATCGGGTTCAGCGTATTGTATCTGTGGATTGTGGGGGGTTGAGGATATAAGCTGCTGTTCCCGGCCGTTTTGCCGTACACGGTAGTCCGTCACTCCATATGTAGGACGGTAAATCTGCGGCGGGGCAGCTGGATAACTTCTTTCCTGAGATTCCATTGCGATTCTCCTTGGTTCATAGTAATTCGGTTGACGTGCGTAGTGATATAGGGTAGGCGACACCGGAACTACTGGCCTTACCTGTGATTCTGGGAAATTCCATTTATCTTTCTTCCCCGATAGCACCCCCTGTTCAAAAGTAAGCTCTATAACCATGCAGTATATAAAAACCATTATTAAATCATATTTTACCTTTGCCTTTTCTGCAAATGAATCTCTTGTCATTTGGGAATCGTCATGCCACATACATCGAAGAACTTCAAGGACAACCCATTTTTCAAGGCCCGAATTACTAAATAGCAAGGAATGCCGGTCGCAGTAAAGGCCAAAGCCGATCTCTGCGTCAAATCAATAAACATGTCATTTAGGGGTTATGGATAATGTTTTTTTACCTTCCAGTTGCTCAAGTAAATCATTTAGTATCCTGTTTTCAGTAAGTGCTGCAGACTTTATTCTACCCCAGAGATAACCATCGGATCGCTTTCTAGAAGTCTTTTCTGGAGGATAAGGTTCCCCCTGTGGTCGTTTTTCTGAGGGAGATACACGCTTGTACGTCTTCCGAGGTCGCGGAAAAGTAGCGTATCCTACATATCCCGATACCGTTGGTGATTCCGGTGCTAGTCCTGATCCTGGTGCAATATCCCACAGATCTTGGTACATTTCCACCGCCGGTGCCCGACGTGCCCGTGCCCGTGCCCGTGCTGGTTCTGATGCCGGTGCCGGTGCCGGTGCCGGTGCTGGTGCTGGTGCTGGTGCTGGTGCCGGTGCCATTGACATTGATGATGGCGGTGGTGGGTACTGCGGATACCATATGGGTGACGGCGCCCTCATATAGGCGGGGATCGTGCCCGGACGAGAATTCGCTTCAATAGGCTCTCCTGGAGGGTGTGGAGAAGGATGTACAAATGAAGGGAATTGAAGTGGCTCAGGAGGAGGAGGAAGATTAAAGGGTTCAGCGGGCGAAGAAGGTTGGGTTTTTTGGCTATCTTTTATATGTCGAACGGCCCGATAGACTTGCGAGTGAGCTCCATCTCCCATGTTTGCTTTTGCCATTTCTAATGACCTAACTAGGGTGATCAAAGTCTTGTTCGAGTCCTTTAGGCTCTCAATCAAATACTCTGGAAGAGGTCTTTCATCAAACATGATAGTATACGCAGAAGATGCTATGGAACCTCTGGACTCTGGACGGCTCAGGTTGGAGCCGGCAGGTTCTACAGATTCATCCAACTGGGTAGGTCTATGGTTAGGCGAGGTATTTGGCCCATGATTTCCAGGTGGGGCCGGACGCTGTCGGCGTGAAGGGGGTTGTGGTACTATGTTGAACTGAGATGAAGTAGCTCCTACTGTTATATTCCGATTCTCTATTGAGGTTCCAGAAGGCGAATGCCTGGGGTCTCCCTCATTTAGATTTTCCTCAGAGATCAATGGTCCTGGTTCGGGAGTCCTTGGGGAAGCATCAGAAAACAAATAGTTTTCTGTTTTATTGGACTTGTCAGGAAGTATTGTCAAAAGCTTTTTAGCTTCATCGAGCCATTGGTTGCGTACTAGTACGACGATATCTGGAAAGTTGTTAGGAAGCCTAGCTTGCCAATGTTTTCAAAACACATGTTCGGATTACTACTCACTTTGAGCAGTAGGTTCCTTAGTAAGGCATCCTTCACAAATCGATATCAAATCCACAAGAATACTCTGTAATATTTCTCCAGCTTGCTTGTATAAATCGTGGTTGACTAAAATTGATAATGCACCTTCATCTATTTTAGTATTGGAGATCCAAACCTTTAAGCGGTTATGTTCCTCCTTTATTAGTTCTAAACAATCCCTTGCATCAATTGTGTCTTTGAAGATAGTAGTTCCAGGAGGAATGGTTTTTTTTGCTAGTAGTGATTCGGTATTCCTGATGACCTCTGAAAATCCCTCGTCGCATAATAGTGATAAATTTTTGTTGAGATCTCCTGGTATCTCATTCCCGTCCAGTCCATCTCCTCTTAAGCCGCTGTCGTTCTCGCATTGCCATATAAATTTTCTCAATATATCTATGTTGGAACCGAGCCACTTATTTAGGCGTATGAATCTTGCATGATCAAGTTTGATTCTTTTCCCGGTTTCGGGGTTCTTGACTTCAAGCCCTATCGCTGTGGGTTGACCTCGGACTTCGCTTAGGATATGATCTGTAGTTTTCTTGAGGGATAGCAATGCCCCGTCTAACATCGCTACCTGTATTACAAAAATGTTTTCAAAGTTCTTATCTAACAAGTTGGATTCCGGGTTGGGTTCTTGGCCTGTAGTGCTGCTGGTATGTCTGTCATCGTCGGTGCTCGAGTTGTCAGTAGTCGTCTTCTCGTCCCCCTCATGCTCAGACCTGGAGCTGTTTCGTTCTCGAAAATCACTGTACCAATATCAGAAGCCATCCAAGAAAACCCATGACTAGGAGCACTCACGACATAATTAACAATAATATTTACATCCAGGTATTTCTGAATATATTCGTGAAGACCACGTTAGAATGAGCCCGGAGCCGTGTTCAGTCTCGAGTGTCAGCTTAAGGAGGCGAGCAAAGAACACCGGGATTACTTCCTCAAAGCACATGTGCGATTAGGGCTGTGTGTTGAGAGAAGTGCTTGTTGCGGCACAGCGCAATCGCGAGCTATGAGGACTGTGTAGCCTGGCTTAGCCTATTATCCCATCCGTATATAGATGCATAAAGCATCAAACGAAGTTCGTGACACAACATGATGCAGTCAAAATCAAAACAGAATTTGTGGCGCAATGTGCCTTTAAGAGAAAAACTTAAGAAGGCTGCGAGTCAACTTGGGGGTATACCAGCTATCAACCAGAAAAATCACAACAAGAAACGACTATACAACACAAATTCTAGCCAATATCATGGAAGTTGCTGGGCTTGTCTTTGGTGTCCTTGGAGCTCTTGATGTCTGTCTTAGAGTTAGTAAGGAGATCAATGGTCTCGTCCGTGACTTCAAGAATGTTGGCCTGGATTTCGAGTGGGCAAGCAAGCGCTTAGATATCCACAATGCCCAATTCAAAAGTTGGATCGAGTTCTGGGATATTAAAAAGAGTACCCCGACCAAAACATTCCATACTCTATGGGGACCCGAAGGCACAAAGGCCATACATGACCATCTAGAAGGCCTTGAGATCCTGTGCACGAAAGCTGCCCAGTCACAAGAGAAGTACAAACGCACTCTTGAGAGAGCCGGCAAAACGAAATTGAAGGCATTCCAGATGTTCCGAGGCAAGTTTCGCTACACAATCTCCGGGAAGAATGAATTCGAGGAAAATTTGAACAAGCTTCGGTCCGAGTTCGGTTTGGTGGAGAGGGAAGCGGAAGAATTTTTTTTGCGCTGCCATCCTAATACTTCAAGAGGTTCAATCTCAAAAGCTATGATTGATGATATTGTTAAAGAATCAGCCATGATGGACGACGTCATGAAGATTCAACAGATAACGATGCATTTGTTCAACGGATTAGATTTGGATAATTTGCCAGGACGCCTCGAGCTTTCATTACAGCCCGACTATGTGTCAAAAAACCAATTTCGAGAGTTGGAGTTTGATACTCAGAGATTAGACAAGAAATCTACGAAATTACCAATTATCGTGAATGGTAAAGCCGACGTCTCTTTTCCCGATTGCCAATACCACCTCCCTTTCCAGTCCGTTTTTGTTCTTGAGGCCGGAGAAGAGTACACCTTCGAGACCCCACAACCAACTAGCCTTCGGGTAGAAAGCTTTATGACTATAGTTGTCTCGGATCAATTGAACCTTGGAGAATACGACACCAGCCTCAGCGACAACGAAAGCTTCTCCCTCAAGTGCCCCCCTAACCCCAAACACGAGGGATACCGTTTTCTTGTCCACAGAACTGGGTCGAGCTCAATATCAAATCAACCAAGGCCACTAAATGAACTTTTCGACAACATTCCTCGGCATCCCGACCAACATCCTTTACGAACCAAGTTTCCGATTACATGGCAGTTTGATTTAGCCTATACCCTCGCCGCGTCCGTTCTGAACCTTCAGGGATCTGGATGGCTCAACACGTTTCACAGTGAAAACATTTACCAACGCGAAAACCTCCATAGGTCAACTATTCACACATTGAAAGTTTGGGCCGGTGGATGTAAGCTCAGCGGCTATGATCTTGACGAGACGGCTTTGGATAGAATATTTCGCAGGCCCAGGAATTCATATCATTTGAAACCGGAAATATTTCTTTTGGGTGTTCTTCTACTCGAGATTGGTCTGGCTCGGTCTGGCTGGGCAATTTTGGGGGACTTGGAGCATATAAGAACCCGTGAAGAAAAATTAGTTCAGGTATACCTCCGTCTCGACGATTCGGTCTGTCCAAAATACACCGACATCACAAGGGCCTGTCTTGAAGGAGATTTTGAGTTTGACGACGATATGGACCCTCAAAAAACCCTGAAGAGTTACATTTCCAAGGTTCTTAAACCGTAGGCTAGCCTTGAATATTCCTATACCATACATATGCATCTTATCTTATTAACATCAGCTTTTTAGATTAAAGGAAGAATGCGATAATTTGAGCGGAAATCGAGGTTCTCGCCGCAGGAGAAAAATAAATGTGCCTTGGAAAATTACACTGCCAATAGCCCCGAGAGAAATTAGTTTTCCCGAATTGAACGATTTTGGGGATATCGATGTTAAACGCCATAGGAGAAGAACTTCAACTTGGGGCGGAAGCACTTTCTCTGATTGAATACCTTTTCTCTCTCTTTCCAACGTTATTCTATGTTGTATATGTATGTATATTTGAATCGTGGAATGAGCTAGAATTGCATGTCGCTAAGTTCTGTTGTGGCATCTAGCTCTCATTTCTAAATAATTATAGTTGATCTTGTCATGAACCATCACTCGCGCACTCATGATGCAAATACTCGTTGGGTGCTTCCCCAAAAATGACTTCTAGTTACTAAGGTACTAAGGGCCCGTTTAGCTGTTGTAGAGGAATCGAAACTCCGTTTCGTAACTGCTCCGTTAGGGGAGGATAAACGGGGCGGAGTTGAGTTTGTTTGGCCTGCCAAACACCACTTCAGATTTTGGTTGTCAAGGTGTATTTTTTGGTGGGGTTTGGGTTGTGATGACTGCAACAGCGAAAAAACTCCGTCCCAATGCCCTAACGGAGTTACAAAATTGGTTGACCGAACGCAAGCTTTTTTGGCAAAACGGAGTTTCGAAGAAAAATGAAACGGAGTTATGTCGTTGCCATACAAATCTGCCCCCCGTAACTCCATTTCGACTGGCAGCCAAACGGGCCCTAAAGCGTTCTTAAGTGCGAGCATGTTCGGTATTTCCTAACCATCTTTACCCAGGTGGCCTATTATTAGAGTAGATAAATGGACTAGTTCGCGTAGTAATCCATGATCCACACCCTCGTGATAGTAATCAAATAAACAGACATTACGTAACATATCTTATAAGGACTTCTTCAAATTTGCAGTCGCCCTCAGAGATCTTTCACTGGCCCCCTTTCCTTTCAGTCCAGCATGAATCTCACCTATGAACCACCATATGCAATATGAAGGAATAAGCACCCAGAATCCGTTAGGGATGATGTACAACGGAACCAGTGTCGTAAAATCGTTACTAAATCTCAATTAGAAAACACATTTACAAAGTAAGCTGCAGGAAGGACGACTCACTGTCCGATATGCCCCCACCCCGAAAAGTATTCGACGCACAAGTATAGTATCGTTTTACTCAATGTCATCACCGTACTCACCAACCCAACCACAACCGCCGCCGAGTTACCACGCGCCCAGAGCGCCAAGTACGTAAAATTCAACGCACTCTCGATCAAGTTCATGAAGGACTGCGCGCCTGGGAAACCATCATTACTTTCAAATGCTGGAAACCCATAGACATGATCAATTGTTCCATAAAGACCGTAAGGTTCCCAGAATTTGTGAAGGTCGCCACCAGGCATTGAGCGGGGGCGAAGGAGGATGTAGCCACAATCCTGAGTTGTACGTTGAGGTTAGCTGAGCTTGGCATTTTTGTGAAGAGGACATTGATTAGTCAGATGATCTTAATTGTAACATACCCAGAGGACTAGCAAGGTTGATATTAGAATCCAGGCAGGAATTATCTTGGGTGGACTGTGTGAGAACGCCATTTTCCCGCGTCGCTGGCAGGAAGGTTAAGGAAGGAAAGTAGGCTTAGCATGAGGGGAAGGAAGCGAGTAGAATATATACAGCTGCCACATACCACGATCGACAGTTTGTGTTGCCCTTTTAACCAATTAAATGTCTTGAATTCGCTGCCACGAGCCTGACCAATGTATGTAACAACCCAACGAGCTTTGATTGGTACATATATTTCTCCTGGTTTGGTCTTTACATAATGTCTACTACATCTTAAAGGGGCGAACCTTGCAACCGTACAGTTTAAGTACTCTAATATATACCAACGATATGCAGAAAAATACCAATCGTTTTGTTTCAAAATCATCCCCTAAACTAATATTCATAGGTACATACTTAGTTACATGCCCATGGTCATAGGGTTTATTTTTATTAAGAAAGTACTTCTACAATGCAGGGAGCCTACGTATAACCTGGACCTCCTAACTACAGTGACATAATTGTTGAGGATGGAAGCAGTACTCATGTAGCTAATCACAAACCCCACTAAAACTTGAAAACACGCTTCATTAAAGAGAAATAATAAAAACTTAATATTTATCATATTGTATCCAGGACCTTGTAACCAACTATAATGAAGACCATGCCCCAAATACTGGCAACGAACAAAACAATATGAAATGCTCCATCAGAAACCGGTTACACAGACAAACTAGTTTGGCCAAGCTTAGCTATTGGTCCTTACAAAACTCTTTAAAAAAATATTGTTTACTCAAACCCATCCCCATGTGTTTCCCATGCTTGCTGGTTGGTATCATCTATAAACCTACAGACCTCATCCCCTCATTCCAAGTCCTCGAAGGTTTAGTTGCCGGAGCCGGAGGTGTGTCCCACATAGACGGGTAACCATAGTCCATGCCACCTGATAATGTAATATTATAACGAAGGTACGAAGGTAATATTCCATTGTTTGCAAACGACCCGGGTTCATTGAGAGGACCCCAAGATTTGCGAGCGGCCCAATGTGTGTTTCCTCCCAACTCCCCGGTAACTTGGCGGTAACGCCCATCATTCGTATTTTCGCAATATTCTGGGAAGCTTGGTAATGCCAAGGGACGTATTTTCTCATGAGCCATCGAAACTGGAGTATCAGGCAGTAACAGCCTTGCGGCCCATTCCTCCCTTGTTGGCTGTGATTTGTTACATGGAAGATAAAAGTTCTCTTGTGGGTACCACCCATGGTCGTACTGGAAATTATCTGGCATATTTCTAACATATTTCTCGTAGACGCCCTTTTCACAATTCCAGATTAAGATCTGTCCGTACTTATCAAAGACTGGAAGTCCATGAAAGCCATCATTCACCGTACTCATATCCGGAATCTTCTTCTCGCTCATTTCTGCTTTTTGCTCCAGGTAATCAACCCAGGCAGTTCCGTATTGGCCTTCGCACATTGGCTGGTTTCTATTTCGCCATTCTTCACTGTCCAATCCTTCGTAACGGACGTTGTCCTCGAGTATGTTGTCTTCGGGAGGTAAAATTCTCATTCCATATCTATATACCGGATCCTGATAATTGCCTGAAAGACTACAGTCACCCAAGAATCTCGTGTCAAATTGTCTCCATGGGATATTAGGAGGAATCAGTGAAAGCTCGGTTACGCCAATTCTGGTAGAAGATGGCCCAGACCTCGGAGTGGCCAGGTATGGGTGTATTTGAGCTATACCGTTATTTTGAGAATAGGGGTTTGTTTTAATTTCGTGTCCGTTATTGACTGGAGGAATATACTGGTTCATGCCGACGTATTCCAGATTTTGGGCGAATGGTTGACCTCGATTCGTCATCATATCGGATGTCCCATCAAAACCGAATTCGGCGGGAATTTCAAAACGGTTGGTTCGTGGTTTTAGGACATGAGCACTGTCTGTTTTATCATTAGTATTTGATATTTCAAAATTACTTAGTGGAGAGGATACGTGCTTTGACTACTTCCAAGTGAAATAAGAGTACATATAACGTCTTTCCCCGCCTGTGTATTATGGTTTTCCATGGTCATTTGGGTATCTTTTAGTATTGTTAGTGATATTCAATGAGACAGAGCAGCTTTTTATTGGACTTACCTTCACCACGACAACCCTCAAGATCTGAGGATATATCATTAATGGTATCCCTCTCAGTTCCAGCAACCTCGTCTTCCTTGATGTTTACGATAGCTTCACCCAGGAACTTTGGAGGGTTCAGGAGTTTCTTGGCTAAAAGGTAAAGATAATTAATTACCAATCAAAGTGAACATCAAAAGGAGGAAGACAGGAAGTACTCGCAAGTACATACCATTGGAGGTTTTCTGGGATCCCGTTTGATCAAACATGCCCAAGCTCCGCTTTTTGGAGCTTTTAATATTTATCCCCCCCTCTTTTCTCTTTTTACTCCCTTTATTGACCTTCTTCTCCTTGTTTTCTGTCGAAACCAGAACCCTATCCTCATCGTCCACCATTTTGATAGAACTCGGGCTATCGTAGAAGATATTTCGATGTTTTTCCATATCCAGTTCCATTTGGATAAACCTTGACTTCAGCGCACCCCTCCAATGATTGAGCCAGTGCTCAAAAGTCGGATCATCAATTGTGTCTCTCCACGATTGTGTGAGTCTAAGACTCACTGGACGAGTCGCGCCAAGATACGGATCGAGTTTTTCGTTAAGGTAATCTGGATTGTCTTTGAATAGTGTAAAGGCAATCTGGTAAAATGGGCTGGCAGATGGGAGGATTTTTAGCTTGAAAAGGGCATGTTGAACGGTACTGGAGTGAATGGTGTACTCCCTTCCTTTCCCAAATTTGCTATACCACGTAGGAAACCCGGAAATTATGTCTCTCAATGGGTCTCCAGCTTTGGTCACATCCCAAACGAAGCTGACAACCAAGGACCAAAAGCAAATTCTTGTAATTTGCTCGGGATGGGACTCGATGAGCATATCAGAGATAATTCTGAGCACCATTTCGGCAAGGTCAGCGGTTCCATATCTACGGGCGACATCGTAGAGCTTTAATTGACTACAGAATGTTGCACGGAAGGTGCCCAGGTTGGTGCGGTAAGAACCGGTGTTGATGTACTCGATGTAGTACGAGAAGATTGATTCATCTTCTTGGGGGAGGTCTACTCTATAATTTTTACACCCAAATTTCCCGACCGCGGACATTCGAGAACAAAGATTTTTGCCGTAATCAGATTTGTTGTTCCATTTTTCGGCGTTGATATGGAAGACAGCAAGGCTGGTTCCAACGCGAATAGTGATGTACGGATGGTTGCTGAAACTATAAAGTAGCAGCAAGGTTAGCGTGTGTTCGCTAAATTCACCTCTGCTCTCACTCTTATCCGTAAAAGAACTTTTCCACTTACACTACAAGTCCTGGTTTACCCACGATCGCCTCGTACGCGAGAAGAATGTCCCTGGCGAAGTACCCTTCATCATACGTTGGATGAGGTTCTGAAGCCTTTCCGTCATCCGTAGCTTTGATGGAAGTTCCGCCCTTGCTGCGAAGAACAGGCGGCATTTTTGCAAAAATGGAGGAAGAATCGAGAAAATAGACCTCTGGCTTCTGGTGATGGAGGTGGGGGG